GAGCAATAGTCCTAGATGTATCGGCCACCACCTCCATTTTTCCCAGCTACTTTCAGGTACCTGCTGCATGGTGCAACAAGCGGCAGTGGCCCGAAAAGCTCGGACAATACAGCATAATCAATAGGCACGTTGGGTTACCTGAGGTAACACACACCCCCGTGATCAGTAAAGACGACGACGAAGGGATCAAAACTGTCACCGATCAAGGAGTTCATCCTCGACAACCTACTAGGCTTTGGAACAAGAAAACAATGGAACATTGCCAGCTTCCGTGGCCGGTGGGCGATTCAGGTGTGGATGGACAAACACGGAATTCCAGATTCTGAAAGGCCAAGAAAAGCACTAGTCAAGACAACCAGCGACGGCATTACCGATTTCCCAACAAGCGTGCTCATCTGGCACATTGCAACAGGCATGTGCTACTACCAGTGCGACTCCACCGACAACGCCGCCAGCAGTACTAGCCCTGATGATCGACAGCTGACCAAGAAGCATAAGCAGATCAGCAGAGAGCTATCAAACTATATCATGTACCTTATCTTCAAGTGCCGTGTGATGCTCACTACCTACTCCCAGTTAGTACATGACATAGCTCATCACGCGATTAAACCCTTCGCTGCCGGGAAGAAGAAGATAGAGATCAATGATTTTGTTAGCAAGCTTTTCGATGCAACCAAGAACAAGCTGGAACGGCATCAAGAACCGGCAAGATCACTCGACAGTGGTGCTGATGCAGCTGCCAATTCTTTAAAGAAACTCCATCAGAACGCAAATTCTGTGCTGCCGCGTGCAAGTGAGTTGGCCCAGGAGCTCATTAGCATCAGCAATGAGAAAGAGCGCTGGGAGCTTATCGCCTCGGTGTGGGCAGAGATGGTATACTACACTGCGCCTCGGTGTGGAGCTGATTTCCACTATGAGCATCTAAGCACTGGTGGGGAGTTCATCACGCCTCTTCTCGTTCTCATGTATATCCTTGGTCCTTTCCTTCCAGACCCCTGATGCTTGAGCTGAGCCCCATGTACATGCATGTCGTATGTGCCATTGTCTAGCTAGCCTTAAATTAGCGGACAAGGGTCGAGCGGCCATCATCCCATGTATATATATAATTGTATCTTCAGTTAATTCCATATGTATGTGATTGCCATGCTGAAGCTGAATGGAGACGTCTTTGACGCCTCTTTCCTCGTTGGAGGCTTTGTTGTGAAGTCTATTTCTGTTTTTGCTCGAGGGCTCTCAGTTGAAAAAACATACACAGATTTTCTGTTTGCCATTCGCGGTGTCCGAAGACGACGTATATATCCTCCATGGAGGCATCACTTTAATTAGAGAACTGATCCTTCCCACAGTGGTTGTTGCTACAGTTTTTTTTTTTTTTTTTTTGCCCTTGTTGCTCATGCAGGGTTGGAAGTTGATGTGGCGGCAGTTTTTGTGTTATCTTCAGGGTTTGGTGTTATTGTGATGTAACAAACTAACAATGGTGTTTGTTATTCGTGTTTTCACCTTATCTATCAATACGTAGACCGGTAGTTATAACCTATCGAGTTCTCTTAAAAAATTAATTTCATTAACACTAGTATGATAGAATAGATAAATGCATGGAATAATTTGTCCGTTAAAATCATATCAGATGTTTTTTTTGAGAAAATTAAAATCATATCAGATGTGGACGAATATTGCCATCTCATATTTCACTAGCTCAGATCTGTGGATCGCTGCCTGGGCTACGCAAAAGGCCCAATACTCTCTGGAATGCACTGCATGCATGCGTGCAATGCAACAGCAGGTGCAGACGAATAAACACATCCGATCAGGCTGGCTATATTTAATATGTTGCTGCAAATAAATTCTTTGATTCTCATCTAATAAATAATAATGGGTGCACGTTCTGTGAATTGTGATCCCCAGCACGTTGCGTTGCGCATAATTAAGCTTGGTCGTTTCTTCTAGAACTATCACGAGACAAAATATATATAATCCGTGCCTGCCGGATTTTATTTGATCGGGTCAACCGAAAATTAAATGGGATGGACGCCTGTGAGCGTGTCCCATGTATCTCCGTTGAGAAACGGGAGAGGAAAACCAGGCAGCCACAGCCCACACACGATGTGATCGCACGTCGATCGGTCTCCCGCCACACAAGTGATTGGGTCTTCCTTCCTCAAAAAAAAAATGGTGATTGGGTCTTCGATCCGTGGAGCCAGCCGAATTAATATTGTCAATCGGCCTCGTCCCATCCATTTCAGTACAGATACATATTTGCAAATCGGGTCAGATAGCAACGTCTACATCCTCCACCGGCCTCTCACATAGCTAGGCACCACGGTAGCGTGGATACTCTCTTCACAATAAATTAGTTTAGTTTGTTCCGCATCTTAACGTATCACTCTGTGTTAATTTTGTGTTGTCTCGCAATAACATGGACATAGATGCATCTCTTAGCCTGGTTTTTCTAATGTCGCCATGTCGGATATGGTCATAGAAAATCCCTAGTCTCTGTTTCGGAATGTTACTGTTTTAATATTACACAAAAATTAAACCAAGCATTTCTATATATTGTTGACCATCAGTTTGTACAAAATCATGTTTAACATCATAAGATTCGTTTACGTGTTTATTCACCATGAGAGATACCTTTTTTTGCCGTCATGAGAGATATTTTCTATAGATACTTTTTTGTAGAAATAAATTACAGTACTTGGGACTAACGACAAACATGTGGCCCCGTTCGGCTTGCTGAAACTTGGCTAAAACTGGCTGAAAAAACACTGTTCTGGCTGAATTGTTGTGAGAGAAAAGCACTGTTAAGACTGAAAAAAAAGAAACTAAACAAGCCGGTTTTTAGGTAAGCCAAACAATGTCTTTAAGGGCATGTTTGCACCGCAACGTTGTGACCAGTCTTATTACCTAATTCCATCTAATGAACGGCTGATTTGTCAATTTCCCATTAGCGGCACGTTGCGCATATGTGCTTATATTTTTGCCGATGAGCTAATAAAACGCAATCATTTTCTCAACTTTGATTCAGATCAGCTGAAAACGAAGCACCGTGTCTTCCGTATCCTCTCTGCTGTATTATATTAATGGGGAAAAAACGAGAAAGAAAACCAGCCACTCACGCACATGCTCACCGGTCTTCACCACCAGTGAGATTCCTTGTCGGTGCCTGTTTAGTGTCTAAAATTTTATAAAAATTTTCAAGATTTCCTGTCACATCAAATCTTTGGACGCATGTATGAAGCATTAAATATTAAATATAAATAAAAAATAAAACTAATTACATAGTTTAGACGAAATTCACGAGACGAATCTTTTAAGTCTAATTAGACTATGATTGGACACTAATTATCAAATAACAACGAAAGTGCTGTGATACCATTAAAAAAATTCACCAACTAAACAAAATCGGTCTCACCACGTTTCAGAACCATTCAATAGATACAGGAGAGAGGAGACTAGTACTACACATTCTCACGCAAATCGGGTCTGTGGCCCGTGATCCAAAACCTCTGGCAAGAACCCACTCACCCATTAACGCAGGGGAAGGAAATTAATTGTACTCCTATACTACTCCGTATGATGTGTCTATTGAAGTATTGATTTCTGGATTAGTTCAAAAATCTACTAGTACTGTGCTACTTAAAGGAAGAGAATGGCTTTACTAAGATCCTATTTGCTTAAAATGAACTCGCTTATTAAGAATGTACTTACAGCTGTTTGCCATTTTTCGCCGAGAATTCGAGTGTTATATTACAGGCGGGAACAAACATAGTAGGCAATGCAAGAGACAGCCTCTGATCAAATTCAACGGTCTGCTAATCCTCAGTCCTCTCATCGACCGGCATGGCACGAAAACCGGGTGGGATTAGAAGGTTCTAACGGATCGAAACCAGCTAGCATCTCCGACCCGAGACGGCGGACCCGGTAGGACGAAAGAGCTCGTGGTCGTTGCCTGGCCTCGTGTATCAGAGTTGTTAGGTTGAGCCTGTGGCGTGGCTGCCCACCCACCTGAAAACTACCCACCCACCCGCAGAGTCGCCTACCACCAGCACCAATCGCCACGCGTCTCGCCGCGGCGCCACAGGCTGCACCGGTCTCACGCCTCCGCTCCCACCGACACCGTGGGGCCCCGTCCCCTGGGGCGCTCCAGGCGTTGGACCAGGCCCACGCGGGCCCCGGTCGGTTCGGTTGCTTCTTCCTCGCTCGCTTTCCGTTCTCCCCCCTCTTGTGGACGGACGGACGGAGGCGCGGCCACCTTCAGGACGAAGCAAAGCAAAGCAAAGCAGCTGCGCCCTCCCCATCTCCGCCCGCCTGATCCACCAAACGAGAGAGAGCGAGAGCCGCCGCCGGTCGCTTCCGATTCCAGCAAAACCGAGCGCCCCCTGAATTTTTTTTATTAGCTTCCTCGGGTTCGGTGCCTCCCTGCCTGACTCCGCACGTCTTGCCCTTTTTTCCCCCCTCCCGACCGTCCACCGGATCCAGTGAGCGAGGGAACGAGCTTCGTGCTCATCGACCGACCCATCGACTGACCGGCCGATCGTCGAGGTACTACGCAAGTTCGTCGCAGCAGCTTCGTTGCTTGCTTGTTCGTGCTTGGCTCTGGTTTTTTTCCCCCTTCCCTTCTTCAGTTGTTTCGTTCTGTTTCATACTGCAACTGATCACCATCAACGAAATAAAATCGATTCACCAAGGCCAACTTCTATCGTACGATCGAGGCGACTTGCTCAAACGGGTAGTGGGTGGGAAGTGGAGATACCCTCCTCCTCCTCCTCTTAATGAAATTTCTCGGCTTTACTTACTTAATTTGTGCCCGGAGCTTCGTTAATACCAACATTTCCATGCTCAGATTGTGTAGATCCCGGCGTAAAATTACTTGTTTCTGCAACTCTAGGATAAACTTCAATGGCAGAGCAGTACAGTCTACAGTTGCGTGAAATTCAGTTTGCGGTGCAGACGCACAGCTTACAGTTGCGTGGATTTTTCTGTTTCTGTTTCTAGGAAGGATGTCGAGCCTCGAGGAGCCACTCGGTCTCGGAGACCTGCCCAAGTTGAGTATTAACAGGCTCGGGAGGTTCTTGTCGCCGACAGCTCGCAGGTCACCAGCCGATGACCACAGCACTGGCAAGTAAGTGTAGGCGTATGAATATGAGCAGTTGATGTGCAGAATGGCATTCGTTTACTCAAGTCAGATGGGTGATCAGTGTTGTTTCGTCGAATGCTTTTCTTGAAATGGGTTTTTGTTCAGTGAATGGATCGTTTGAAGTTTGCATTGTTTGCTCGCTTTCAGATACAGCAACTCCTGCAATGGTAGCCCCTTCCATGGCAACTCCTATCCCTGGCATCCGCAATGCCGTCAAGCCGATTCATCATGTGATGCGGTGGAGCTTAGAGATCTTCCTCGGAAGGTATTTTCAACGACACATATATAATTAGGACTGACCTGATAATCAGTTTTGTCCATCAGCTCAGCCTTTGCTTTACTTACCTAGTCATAATCTTCCAATCTAGTACTATTTAGAGTATATAGCATTTAAAAACTACAACAATGACGATATTAGCACCACAACGCTTTCTTTTAATCCACAACAATCTGTCCTCTCAGGTTATGTGGGAACTGCCAAGGTTTGTGAAGATAGTTGAGGTTGGACCACGGGATGGCCTGCAAAATGAAAAGGGCAATGTTCCAACATCTGTAAAGATCCAACTGATACACAAGTTAGTCGGTGCAGGTCTGTCAGTAGTCGAAGCCACAAGTTTTGTATCCCCAAAATGGGTGCCGCAGGTGATGCAGTTAGTTAGTGACTACGATAATGGCATGTTTTATGTTTCAATGAAAAAGGTCGTTAAGTTCTTATCTAGCTCTGTCTGGAAACTGCAGCTAGCTGATGCAAAGGAGGTCCTGAAAGGTATCCAGCAGGAGCCAGGTGTGCGGTATCCGGTGTTAACCCCTAACCTCAGAGTAAGTTCTGACATCATTTCATTTCCTCTAAGAAATGTACATATTTGCTACTACAAGATGTGATCTGTACTAATGAATTGAGTGTTTTACAGGGATTTGAGGCTGCTATTGCAGCTGGTGCAAAAGAAATTGCGGTTTTTGCATCCGCCTCTGAATCCTTCTCTAAGTCGAACATTAACTGTACCATTGAGGAAAGCCTTGTTCGGTACCGTGATGTTACAGAAGCTGCCAAGAAACATGGACTAACTATCCGGGGGTAAGTTAATCAACTTTTAACCTCTTTAAGTCTGATAATTGACGAGTTGGGTGACTGAGGCGTTTCAGCGGTGATGTGGTCTGAATCTTGTTTCATCTGTTCATGTTAGGTATGTTTCATGTGTGATTGGTTGCCCTGTTGAAGGCGCAATCGATCCATCGAAAGTGGCATATGTAGCTAAGGAGCTTTACAACATGGGCTGCTCGGAGATTTCACTTGGCGACACAACTGGTGTTGGGACACCAGGTACTGTTCTCCCTGCCTAAGTTTACTAACAGTATGTGGAGACTGACTAAAGTAACTACTAACTGCAACATCTCTGTTTCAGGTAGCGTGGTTGCTATGCTTCAAGCTGTCATGGCGTTTGTTCCACTAGACAAGATTGCTGTTCATTTTCATGATACATATGGGCAAGCCCTCGCCAACATCCTTGTCTCCCTTCAAGTAAGCAACGATAACTTTTTGTCTCTTCATTGGTCCACGACATGCCAACGGACTCTTGGATGAAATGGCATGGCACCCCAGCGACCCGGGTTCGACTCCCAGCGGGAGCGGATTTACGTGGCCTGGGTAAAAAAATCCCCTCGTCCGACTCACTCAAAGCACGGTGATACCGAACCATCTCACGTGGTGAACGGTCCCGTGTAAGGGTGCAGGGGCGGAGGTTCGGGGATTTTCTTGATCTGCTTGAGAGATCTTCTCTACCAGGCAATGCCCGGGGGCCGTCTTACCCCCGCAGATCAAGTTTTTTTTTATTGGTCCACGACATTCACAGAAATCACACCTTAGCCTAACACACACATTTCTTGTTTTGTCAGATGGGGATCAACGTAGTGGACTCATCAGTGTCAGGCCTTGGAGGCTGCCCATATGCAAAGGGCGCCACTGGCAATGTTGCCACAGAGGATGTTGTGTACATGCTCCATGGCCTGGGGATAAAGACCAACGTCGACCTCAACAAGCTCATGGAGGCTGGTGATTACATTTCCAAGGAATTGGGCAGGCCACTGGGTTCCAAGACTGCGACTGCTCTGCGCAAGCTAACTACCTGAGTCGCTGAAAACCACTCCGAAGAGAAATGTATCAGTTTGTGTTATCACACGTTTTTTTTTACTTATATATACAGACGAGTCATATGAATGTCCCTAAAGTTTTTACTTTAGTTTGCAATTTCGTGGACATACTCTGAAAACATTTGATTCACACAGTTGTACCTGCTGTTGGATAATTCTGAATAATCTGGGTTTTCCTGGACGCAAATTGTGTTAGCAGAAACGAGTAATAAAGGTTTGGGACAGTCTACATACTTCACCAGCAATGTGGGGGCCTCATTGGTTGTGCTGACGGAAAATAATTTTCAAAAAATCTGATCTTTGGTATCTTACCGTTATATTGGATGGACGGCACAACTGCGAAATGCTGCAGCAACAGTTTCTTGCTGCCGGGCAATCCCGTGTTTCTTACACGCACACGTATCAGAATATCACGGTTAAGGATCTAGGCAACAAATGAGCAAAACACGCACATGTATCAGAATATCACGGTTAAGGATCTAGGCAACAAATGAGCAAACTAATCGAAGCATGTGCCTTTTCTTGCCCTGCCCTCTGACATAAAATGGAGGGAGAGCTTCGCCATATTCTGTACTATATGCATATATCGGAATGAATATGCAATCACCACAAGAACTTTACATGTTCCCTGTGCTGGTTTTTAATCTGTCGTCATGGTTACTCCAGGGAGAGTTTTAAGGATGGCTAGGCATTCCTTCAGAATTGTCTTTGCTTGTTCACTTTTTTCAGACTCGCAGAGCTCTGTAAGTTCATCCTCGAACTTGGCCTCTGTTCTGTCCAACAACGGGAAGTCTCTGTACAGTTTGCTCAAATCAAGAACACATTCCGAAGCAGCAATGTGAACCTGCAAATTGGTGATAAGTCGTGACTCATGAGGAACAAGGTTTGGTCTGGACACTAAAGGCTAATGGCAAACTCAGCAACAGCTTCTAAAACCACTGGTTTAAGAAACAGCCATGGGTCTGTTTTACTATTTAGTATTTACATGGATGTAACCTCATATTGTGGACTACTTATGGCAATTCCAGACAACCTTTGCACCATTCGTGTTATCATGTATGACAGATGTAAGTATTGTGAAACAGGAACACTAGGGTTCTGTTGGCCAGCACTTATTCCAGTAATTTCACTGGTAGCAGCCATGACATCTGACCAGCGAACAGGAAAACCAAACTAACTTAGCATCCATGATTTATTACATGTCAGGGCTAATTAATTAAGATCTGCCAGCCCCCATGATTTATTATATGCCAGGGCATTTAATTAAGAACTGAGCAGATTAAAAAGGTAGTTAAACAATGAGACAAATGTATATTTGAATCTTAAAGAAATAGAGTGGACCCTAATGGTCACCTGAGTGATTTATCTGAAAACATAATCTTGCTCCTTACATAAAGCACTTATGCAGTTTTCCAATAATTGGTTTGAAGTTACTTGTTTGACACATGACAAGTAAATTTGACAGAAAACATTGCCAAAATGCCAAAGCAGCTTCGATGAGTGAAAAAGGCATTGCAACTTTTCTTATCATCATTAATGGAATCATAGACAAGTATACACACTGCTAAATCAAGGGGCAATGCTATTAAAACATGCTTAAACTGTCAAGTGCAATATTACAATGTTTACATGCTTTATTCCATAAAAAATACATGTTATAGGCACATATTTTAAATTAAAGTGAGTGTTAATTATTATCCATTAGCAGGAAGACAACGTATTATCTACAGGTAAAGGTGTTATGAGATGGTAACAAAAAATAGGCAAATATATTTCAGCATCAGCTAGGGAGGACTAGACATATAGAAAATTACCTGAGCAATCTTTACTAATCTTATGGAGTCTACTAATTTTGGTGATACCAAATGAAATAACTGAAAAAATTAAACAGAAAAGATATGTCAGAAGCAATGAAAACCAACGGCAACCTGAAGCTGAATATAGAGACAAACAAACTACAGGATATACCTCCTGAACCAAGCAAGCTGTGTCTTGAGGCCATGTGCTACTATCACCAGAACTGTGAAATTTCAGGCACAACTCTTTGATACACAAGAAGGATGATAGTTTAACTGTTCATGAAAAAATAATAAGCGTTACTATGATGATTTGCAATCATGAGACAGAAGTATCCAAAAGATGTTTAGAATTAGATTACGGATCCCATATATCATACCTTGCCAACTCTCCTCAGGTGAGAGAGAATTCAATATTAGTTCTAAAACATTCTTCTTTTGGTTGATAATATCCTGTGGAAAAGCGACACTGATGCAAGATGTTGCACAATTGAGCACTTTATCCAGAGAAATAGAAGCACCTTCACTTTCATCTAGTTCTGCAGAAAAGAACCCATACATAAATTTTGAAGGAGTGAAAGAAGTATTTGGAGATACAATAGAGATAGATTATATAAGATGATTGCATGCCTAATATATCATACATTTAACCAGGAATTTTATAATGGTTGTATTTCAGTTCAATTTATTAACAGTAAGATCAAGTCAGGATTAGTTGAGGCTTCACTTATTGATTCAGAAAGACAATTCAATCAGTGATAACAAATTCGGCAAATTAGAATGATCATATTCCATACTAGAGCAAAATTTGAAAATTATATCCTAAGCCTCTCTGTAAATGAAATTTTGCTACACGAAGGGTATCAATGTATTATTCTGGAAGTGCCTCATCAAGCTTCAAGCTATTCTTGAAAAGGTCCTCAGAACTAAAAAATGTGTTATCCTACAAAATAGCTATAGATATAAAAGAGAGCATCAGATATCAGATATTCTTGTATTCAATTACAAAAGGTTTTGTTTAGAATAGTCATTAACTGAATGAAATATTCAAAATAATGACTCACCCGCACCAGCAGAGCCTTTTGTCTTCGAAATGACAGATTGGTTAGAAACCTCGTACAACATTGGAAACACACTATTGAAAAATCCTGGATCTCTGAATGCTGCAATCACCTGAAAAATGATGGAAAAGAACACTAGGTAAATGGTACCGATTCTAAAATTTTGAAATAGTATCTAAAGGGCTATAACTCCGCCTATGTTGTCTCAACATAGCAGGTCCCAAGTCCTGGTAAAGGAGGAGGGTTGTGATAGGCGTGGCGAGCCAACGTTAAATCTAGCCATTCTAATGGAGATGAAACCCGAAAGATAATCGTTGGGGCATAACCCTCTTAGCGACGCGCTATATCGGAACCCGGGTATAGTGTTAAATGAGCAAGGGCCGGGTCGTCACCCCCGTGACGCGCCGTGTCGCGATCTGGGCACGATGTCAAGTGATAAGGATCGGGTCATCGCATCCTTAGTGGCGCGCTACATCGACGCCCGGGTGTAGTGAAAAATGAGCAAGGGTCTTCACATCTGATTCGACGGGTGCGAAGGGTAAGAAAGCTAGTCGAACCAACTAGGATCCGTTTAGGCAGTTGGAATGTAGGGTCGCTTACAGGTAAGTTAAGAGAATTAGTTGATACCGCGACTAGGAGGCGTGTAAATATATTATGCGTTCAAGAGACTAAATGGAAGGGTCAGAAGGCGAAGGAGGTCGACAATACAGGTTTCAAGCTTTGGTACACAGGGACAGTTGCGAATAGAAATAGAGTAGAAGTTTTGATTGATAAGAGCCTCAAGAATAGTGTGGTGGGAGTGAGAAGGCAAGGAGATAGGATTATCTTAGTTAAGCTTATCATTGGTGATATGGTCTTGAACGTAATTAGTGCGTATGCCCCCTAAGTAGGCCTCGACGAGAGTGCTAAGAGACAATTCTGGGAAGACTTAGATGGCCTGATTAGAGCTGTACCCAGTTGTGAGAAGCTTTTTATAGGAGGAGATCTTAATGGGCATGTAGGTACTACAAGCGCAGGTTTCGAGGCAGTTCATGGAGGTTTTGGGTATGGTAGTAGGAATCAGGAGGGGGAGGAAGTTCTGGACTTCGCGGTAGCTTTTGACCTGATGATAGCCAACACGTTCTTTAGAAAGAGAGAATCTCATCTAGTGACCTTCAGTAGCGGACAACACTCTAACCAGATTGACTTTGTCCTCACAAGAAGAAAGGACAAACGAGTATGCTTGGGTTGCAAGGTGATACCAGGGGAGTGTGTTGTTTCTCAACATAAGCTTTTGGTGGCAGACTTTCGTTTTCAGGTGCGTGCCCGTAGGGATAAACAAGCTAAAATTGAAAGAACAAAGTGGTGGAAACTGAAAGGGGAGACGTCAGAGGTATTCAGGGAAAGGGTTATCAAAGAGGGCTCTTGGAAGGAAGAAGAAGACATAAACAACATGTGGGAGAAGATGGCAACCAACATTCGGAAGGTGGCCTCAGAGGTGTGTGGAGTAACCAAAGGAAGTGGAGGCGAGGCTAAAGATACTTGGTGGTGGAACGAGGAAGTCCAAAGGGCTGTTAAGGAGAAGAAAGAGTGCTATAGACGCTTGTACAGTTGTACCATGACAGGAGTGTGGACAACATAGAGAAGTACAAGATGGCAAAGAAGACTGCAAAGCGAGCTGTAAGTGTGGCAAAGGGTAAAGCGTACGAGGATCTTTACCAACGTTTGAGTACGAAGGAATGAGAGAAGTGTAACGTCCCACCTCTCCGAGGCCAGGTCCGCTTACATCTGATAGCTTTCCTAGGACATAGACTGCCCTCACAGACCAACACTAGTCTTTTCTGCGTACTTTGTCCTCACTCATGCGCCCCCGGGAAGAACTTCCCGGTCGGTCACCCATCGCTCCAGGCCAAGCACGCTTAACCTCGGAGTTATTTGCAGATGGGCTTCCGGAAAAGAAGTTGCAACTTATTGGTATGAGTATCATATTAATCCTGTTAAGCCATGGGCCGGGATGTTACAACTTTGGAGTCCAAAGGTTTTAGACTCGGTAGAACTAAAACTGAGTATATGAGATGTGACTTCGGCATTACTATTCGGTAGGGGGAAGATATTAGTTTGGAAGGTCAAGTAATGCCTAGGAATGATACCTTTCGATATTTAGGATCAATGCTACAGAGAGACGGGGATATTGATGAAGATGTTAGCCATAGAATCAAAGCATGGTGGATGAAGTGGCGGCAAACATCTAGTGTCCTATGTGACAAAAGGGTACCACAGAAGCTAAAAGGCAAGTTTTATAGGACGGCGATTAGACCTGCTATGTTGTATGGTGCAGAATGTTGGCCTACGAAAAGACGACATGTTCAACAGATAAGTGTCACGGAAATGCGTATGTTGCGTTGGATTTGCGGTCATACAAGAAGGGATCGAGTTCGGAACGATGATATACGTGATAGATTAGGGGTAGCACCAATTGAAGAAAAGCTTGTCCAACACCGGTTGAGATGGTTTGGACATGTCCAACGGAGACCTCCAGAGGCACCGGTGCGCAGTGGAATCCTAAGCCAGGATAGTAACGTGAAGAGAGGCAGAGGAAGACCGAAGTTGACTTGGGTAGAGGCAATAAAAGGAGACTTGAAAGGATGAAATATACCCAAAGACTTAGCCTTAGATAGGAGTGCTTGGAAGACAGCTATTCACGTGCCTGAACCTTGATTGCTTCTGCTGGGTTTCAACTATAGCCTACCTCAACTTGTTTGGGACTATAAGGTTTTGTTGTTGTTGTTGTTGTTGTAGTATCTAAAAGGCTATATCATTGCAAACCTTGCAGTCAGAAAAATGGAAAAATAAGTTAACACCCTCAAGAAAAAATCTAGTAAATCTTTAGCATGATGCTAAAAGGTACATTTCTGCAACAGTTAAAATTTGTTTTATTAAAGAAAATTTTGGTCCACTAAAGAAAACGCTGGCCAACAAAAAATAACACTACAGCATCTGCTAGTGAAAATGGGTTCCGAAAAGTAAGTGAGAATTGAAGAAAAATACTTTGTGTAGACACAAGAAGGCTGCTTCACGGTACAATTTTGATTTCCTACTGCACGCAGCACACACAGCATTTAGTATAACACTTGGCAAGCTGGAGTCTTCTGCAGTTATAGCAACATGACAGCAAGAACACAATGAAGCCAATGCGTCCAGAATAGCATCTTTTCCCTGTTGAAAAATGTAAGGGAACAAAATTAATTATGTACCAACAACCAAGACATGGATAAATTTCCAAAACAATGTATAAGCAGACAATCCACTTATCATTCCATGAACAAATGAATGAGTGTGTGAATTACCTCCCAGAATCGACCTGGCAATTCTTTCAAAAGTGATTTGAGAATATTCTGGTAGTGTGCTGATAGGGGTTCTCCAAGAATATCACATAGCTTCTTTATAGCCTTGGCTGACTGGAAGGAGAAGGCTGTACAGTAAGTATATTACAAGGTACAGGACTTTTAACTATTATTATCTGATATGCATATGGAAAAGCAAATTATGAAATAGGACTGTACCTTTCTTTTACCAGCCCATGATGACAATGACATGCCATCACATAAAAGAGATACAATTTCTGGTAAATATAGTGTTAGGGTTACTCTTTCACTAGTAGGAATATCCTCCCAAAGTTCTTCATATAAAGCACTGGTGTCTTTATCATCATCAAACCTGAAACAAAGTTTCGTTTATACACATGGAAAGGTTTCTGTATTTCTACTAAACTGAAGGCATTATGAATATTTGAAACACTAGGAATCAAGAAAATGCAAGGTAGATAAATGTGTCCTTCACATACCTCGACACAAAAATTACAGGGATAACCACTGCATTATATCCACCAAGAATATCCGATGCATTGCTCAAGTAGGCTTTAATAAGAATTGCACCAGATAACTGATCGTTTTTCCCACCTGAATGCAGAGAGGTAGTATCTTCAATAAGCTTCTGAGCCTGGGGAGGACTAGCGTATTTCAAAACAGTTGCACAAGAGGACGCGAAAGCCTTTTTAGCGACAGAACTCCTTTCCTCCAGAACAGCACTATACAATAACTTCAGTAATATTGGTGTGAATGGTTTGATATCAACCATGACCTTCTGCACCAGCAAGGTTATGAAGCTAGCAACACCAACCCTGGAATCAGACAGAAATGAACAATACCACATGATTGAAGTAGTGAGAAATGAAGCATTTGAGGATATAATGAATAAGATTGTACATGCCATCCTAACCTTGTATTTAAGCCAACAGCTGATCTAACCATTTGAGCCAGGCGAGGAACCAATAGATCAAGTGAATTCTTATCAACAATTTTTATACAGATATCAAGAGTTTCCCACATTGGAGAATCTTTAGCCACAGCTATACGGAAGCTTTCAAGCTTATCAGTTTTGATGCCAACATTCCCTGCATGCATCTTTGATCCAAAGGCAGGAGTGAGTAAAATATTGCATCTGTCGGATATACACGTGCAACATCATCACCATCAGTCTTTATAGAAGTGGGGAAAATTAGCATACCTCAACATAATTCAACCTTTGATCCTCCAGACTTGACAAACATTCAAGCATACAACTAACAAGTTCTGGCAGATGAGGACGAAGGGCAGGACCAGCACCCTGAAGACATCAGGAAGCCATGAGCTTAAGACATCTCTTTAGTTAATTATTTTGGTGATGGCATCTACATAAGCAGAGAAACTAGAAGCTGTAGTCTGTGCATAGGCAAAGTAGTAATTTTATTTTGCCTGCAGTAGTAAGAACCTTTCATGTTTCTTTCCTTTTGATTCGTTTCCTTTCGTAACATTACTTAACAAATTCTAGGGCTCTCTGTTCCTTTACTTTAAGAAAGAAGTTAGAATACTCTTGAGGCATTCGGCCAAGTGCCAACCACATAAAAATGACAATCCTGTTCGTGTTTTCAAATAATAATGTTCGTACAACAAGGGTAATGCTGCATTAGGCTATTGGCATCCAAACAAGGAACTGGAGAAATTGCAATTTATATAAGTTCAAGTGGAATAAACATATGAAATTGCTTAGAAAGTAGAGGTAATAGAAAGTTTCTCTTCGATACCACCTTGAGGAACTTCAATGTTTGATTAGGATATGAATAGATATAAAGTTCTATGATCTATTGTTCACTCAGTGGTCAGTATGTTAGAGTTGAAACACAATTGTTAGAGAAAAAAATCATCGAATTTGGTGAAATATCACATGGTTTCAATATAACTCATTATGGCAGATATTGCAACTAGACTTGTTAAAGTTTACCATCAATATACCTTAGCAAGCTTCATGACCAAACTAATAGCAGCTTTTGAACACTTGGAACTTTACTGAGTATGCCCTCAGAAAGCAAGTATGGCAGCACAATGTTCATTGTTTCGTTTGCATCAGAAGTAGAAGTTAGTGATATATCACAGAGCCTAATTGTCAATGAGCTTACGGCTCGGCACAAACTGTCACCAGCAGTTCGCACAGTTTCCTTTATGTCATCCATTGCACGGAAGGTGGTTGTCCATATTTTTCTCAAATGTTTACAAACCTAAAGAACAAATAAAAAGGTGACTTGTAATTGTTCTTAAAAGAAATCCAAAGTCAGATTCATACAAACACTTTAATATAGCTCATGTCAAATGAAATATTGAGCTATTCAGAATTTCTATAACACCATGAATGTTACCTGACTATATCTTCGCCTTGGATGATGTCTGCAAGTGCAAGACAGGATGCTTCTCGTGAGCGCCAAAGCCTCGATCCAGATTGAACCAATAGATCCTCTACTATGGCATCATAATGTTCATCTATTGCTTTTTTCGGATCTGAAACAATTAACTTCCAGATGTGTGCCATTGAATCCTAAAAGGCTTAGCTGGAATTATTAGCTCGAGGAAAGGCTCTATGAGCTTATTAAGAAATATGAACGCAATAAGATAACCTATTGCTGTATATCAATGACAACCAGAAAACAGTGCAATAACTGATGGCTGAGAGGGGCCCTCTTAAGGATAAGAGGGCTGCTGACATGTATATCAGTTACTCATCAGTAGATATGTTTGGTCTATTTTTCTGATCTGAGTTCCAAGGCCACATTTTACTTAATTTCAAGCACTAGTTGCATGGATGTTCATTATACCAAAACCTTGCTAGTCACAGTAAAGGATGCTTGAAAATAATGATTTCTGGAACTATGATTGTGCATGGGAGGACTACTAGAAAACTATTATTGTGGTATAAAGCTAATCTCAATGAGTTATAATGCAAAATCCGTGCAGTGTTTAAATAAATTTAATATAAATTTTCTCAACAACAAGAAAAACACGAGGAAATCTTATCTGCAATCTGATTACAGGATAGAAAAGTATACTCCCTCCAGGTTGGTAAAAGAAGTCGTTTTGGACAAGGATTGGGTCAAACATTGGGAATATAAATCATGAATAACTTTTAAGTTGTTCTGAGTTTGAAAATGTGAAAACCACATTAATAGATTTGTCTTGAAAAATACTTTCATAAAAATACACATATATCACTTTTCAATAAATATTTTTATAAAAATAGGAAGTCAAAGTTATGCTTTGGAGACCGTGTCGCTGTCCAAAACAACTTCTTTTACCAATCTGGAGGGAGTACAACAGTATAGCATAACTAACACAATGTGGAAACAGAGTGTTTAGTTATAATGCTGAAAGCCATCGTAGTGCCTTAATAAACCAGCATATAAACATGCATAACTTAAATGTACTAAACTAAGGAAATCAATGTCAAGTTATGCTTAACTAGTCGAGCTGTTTGATGCATTACTTGCTTAGCACATCAGCTTCTTACTTTCTCATATGAAAAGAATGGAAACATCATACTAACTATATTACATGGTTATAAGTAGTTTTACAAGAGTACATTCGTCAACCAAACAGTTTAATTTCAGTCCAATAAAAAGGAAACATAGAAAATGGCACATATGGTGATGAGTGTGCAAACTTAGATACCTGGATGTTTTTATCAGGGTCGTGTTGGTAACGGACAAGCCTAGGAATTAAGGTATGCAGATAAGGTTGAAGTGCCTCGCCAGCTTGTTTGGCTATCTTGGAAAATCCAAAAGCAGCACCCCTTTTAGAATTGAGAGCAGCCTGATAATTAGCTAGATCCATGAACTTGTATATCAGGTCAGGTTGCCCCATCTCATTGGCAAGACTGCACAGCTCCTTGTACGTGCTAAGTTTCCCTCCAGTAGGATTATTGCCAATTGTGCCATCTTGAAAGACCTCGGAATCCTCCATCAACTAATGCAAGTGCATAAAACATAATTACCTTCGGATGAAACATTATCAACTAAGGAAAAAAATATATAATTGAGAAAAATTATGAACCTTAATGGCTTTTTTCTTTCTTGCAGTGCCAGTCAGTGTGTTCACCAGAGCATGAACCAGCTCCTCTTTCATAGATGCATCACCAAGCTCATACACAATACTCATGCCTTGAGATGCCAAATCTTGCGTAAGCTCATTTGGATCACCAAGAAGATGTGAAAGGGCCTCCTGCGAAAGAAATGAAATTTACATTTTTTTTGTCAATAAAGAAGGAAGAACTCTGGTGGGAACATTAAATGACTATCTGAACAAATAAAGCAATCAATTATTAGACTAAACTAAAACTAAAGGTGACCTATATCCTCCAAGCAACAACTGTGCTAGCTGAAGAAAAGAAGTATATTTCACCAGTATATGCATAAGAAGTTCAGCTCACTTCAATCAAAAGGTGAGATACCCTATGTCTATTTTTTGGCACCACAGGAAATCGCAATTTTGAAATACAGTCATAGATTGGCACATAAACCCTAGTAAGAACACCCAAAATGAATCGAAAGTTAGTTCAGTTTTTAAGTGGGGTACACATCTAATGTACTTCTACTCAAAGTTAGCTTCCATGCCTAAATCACTGTAGATTACTGGCACTAAAATACCATATGGACATCACCGTATAATGATTACAGATTCTAATGCACTGAGGCAGTTTAGAGAAAAGTTTAAAAATGTACAAAGGTCACCTTAATAATCTAGGTATCTTATACTTGGTTGACAAACCTGGATTTGCGGAAGTAGTTCTAGGATTTTTTTATGTCGGCCACAGTACATCGTCAGTGAGACCAACCAGACAGTACCTGCACAGCGTTCTTCTTTTCTACTGCTATAAATTAGTGTTTCGAACAACTTTTTAATAATTTCTTCTCGTGCAACTGAGTGTGCTTCTTCACAACCACTTTTTTCATTGGAGTTACTCGAGACTAGAGATGCATCACCGGTAAGATAGTTTGTGGCTTGGGAAAGGGAAACAAAGTTCGTCTCCAGTATCACATCTGCTGTCACAGGAACTTCTCCCCATATGAAAGATAAAGCCTCCCCCGCAGCAAAAAGTACATCTTCCACCTGAACAAGCATAATTTAAGAATGTTATTATTTATTCCAAAGAATAGTGGTAATATTTTAGCTGCAAAGTTTGGATTTTTGTGCCACTACCTTAGAACGTGAAAGACTAAAAATCAAGTCTAATGCATCATTCAGGTGAGGAAAGGAGATCTCATTCCAAGATATGTGCCCCAATGATACAAGAATTTTCTGTTGAGCTTTAGTATCATTTTCAGAAAGAAGCTTAGTCAGCCTCTCACGGAGAACGCTTAATAGTGTACCTGAAGGAAAAAATAATTAAAATAAATAGCATCATAGATGGTGAATAGCACAACTCATAAGCAGTATAGGTTTGATTAACAAGTTTAACCTGTAGAAGAGTTTTGGTTGATGGAAGGCAATGCACAACGCAGACCAATGTGACCAAGAGATTCCATAGCAACAGATGCTAATGTCGAACCTTCAGAGATAACTACTTTTACAAGACTATCAACTACATTTTTTACCATATCCTCAGATATCTGCATATGCACTCCAAATACAACAAATTAAAAACTTCAATTGAAAAACATACAAATTAGTTGCATTCATAAAAATAATGTGTTAGGAAGAAAGTTTTCTAAGCCACATGATGGCAGCCAAATTAATTGCATCATAGGCAGTCAAACTTGTGAAGTGGGCACAAGTATCCAAAACATAAAATTAGACACCTATCAGACAGGTCCAGTTATAGTTTTGGCTCCCTTCTAGCACTAGCGCATCTGTTTTTCGTAAGCCTAGGAGTGAGTGGGTGTGTGTTAAGATTTCTCCAAAGTTCAAACCGCTTTCTCTTCTTAATATAATGATATGCAGCTCTCCTGCATGTTCAAGAAAAAAAAGTTATAGTTTTGGCTCACTGACGCTAGGGGCAGTTACTTATGGGGTGATGGTGCAGATATTTCTTCTACAGTTGTGCAGTTATAGCCCTTGCTTCCAACACTAATAGGCCACCCTTGTAAGATAATCTGCTGCTGCCCAGAAAAGGCTGCAAGCAAGTGTAGACCAAGTTTTTTACTACAAGTCAAGGTCTTTTTTCTTAGTTTGTAAAAAAGCCACTAGGGCTGTTGTATGTAGTCACTTTCAGCTATAAATAAGAGGTAGGAAGCACCAGCAAGCTGCCGCTTACAGCAGCCACAAACAGCCTCCTCCATCTCTATCAAAGTGTAGTGCAGCAGCAGTCCTAGTTCAGTTCAGTTGCTGCACTTGCTGTGCGTGAGTGTGCTGTGCTCAACTTCTTCTACCACCAGCCCAAAGTGTGCGTGTGACGGGATTCAAACAACCCTTTCTAGGAGTGCTATACTCCTTCATTCCAAATTATAAGACGTTTTGGCTTTCCTAAATATGTAGCTTTGCTATACACTATGTCTAGATACATATAAAAAACAATGTATCTAGAATCTAGAAAAGCCAAAACGTCTTATAATTTGGAAAGGAGGGAGTAATGTTTAGCAAAGCTATCTATTGACTTGCACAACCAAGCATTGATGCTCAATAAAGTGTAGATGAAGAATATGAGAGAATTTTTTTAAAAAAGAAATCTAGCAATGTTCTGTACTTCTATTGTTTTGAGAAAATAATCAAATATTGATGTGACACAAATAAATCAGAAATGTGTTCTTCGTACTTCCTTTTAATCTCCCAATATAAAGTATTTTGACTTGTAATAAGAAAAGTGTTACTCTCTTCCTTCCCCATATTAGATAAACATACATTCTGCCACATGTTACTCGATTTCTCTCTGCAACTACCAATACCAGAGTAACATACAGGTTCTCATGGACCATAATTCTAACAGTATCAATATCAAGTCACTCTAGCAAATATGATAAGTATATTCAAGATGCAGTTTCAAGGCAGAGCAATCTAAGAGACCATGCCAAATTTCAGATAAAAACACATCAGAGAATGAAATCAGTAAACAAGCTACAAAGTTAGGAGATGAATAAAATGAGCATACATAAGATTGCTTCAAAGCACCAGCTGTTAGGTACCCGATCGCACACAGAACTCCATGGTAATTTTCAAATCTGGCCAAATTCATCAAATAGTCACATGAATCAGAAGTTGTGTGGCAACACAAAGGACATGTCAGTCTTAAAGTTTTCATTTTCATACCTTGATGGACGGTTTTGACTCAGTGTTGAAGTGAGCTCAGACAGAAGACTTAGTGCAGAAGAGGTTGAAAGAGCTGAAGAAGCAATACCAAGCAGGCATGATGCAGCTTCACGAGCATCAGAATCAACATGACCCAAAAGAGTTCTTAGCCAATTTATGCGTTCTGCATACCGCAATGACACCAACTGCAAGTATAAAGTGCAAGTTTAAAAAAAAATCTGAGGAAAAGGAAAACATGAAGTTTATTTTCATAAACGGCACCAAATGGAAACCTTTGGCTCACGAGAAGAAAGGTCAACCAATGACTTCAAGGCCAGCGCATGCAGTTCGCTAGACCCTTCATATGACATGGCATGTTCTAAGATGACACACATTTTTGCTACAGCAGAATCAGATGGATCTTGCAAAAGATTTGAGCTATCACTAGACTCAAAGCACTTCATCAGAAACTTGATCATTGAAACAAATGTTTTTGAAGGGAAGAGTAATTTTCCATTTCTCTGCTCATCAGAATGCAGCAACTGAGGTCGCTGACAGCAGATATAATTTATCATCTCCTTTACATCAGGATAGCTGAAATCACCAGACCCTGCAGATGATTGCCTCCCATCATTCATAAGATTTAGACCAGCTAGAGCCATTTCCCTGTGACAACAGAACTAATAAGAGAAGGATACATAGATGGCCAAACATGTACAAGTTAAAAAAAGGCATGCATTGATAAAATCTGCTGAAGTATCAGCATCATAATCGAGAATTTCTTGTTCGCAAAAATGTATTGTACCAAATGCCAAAGCAAGATCACCAATTATTCTCAAGTCATTTGAAAATGTCAGAACTGAAGGACGTTGCTACTTTCATCCATCTAAAGGACATGAGAAACATTTGTCGAGTGTAGCAAAAAGGGTTTATGAAATTGAGTCAGGTGAACAGTTATTGATCTAGCAGATTTCACAATCTGAATTCAATCTAATGGTTTTACTGACTGATAAGTGACAAGTATAACTACAAGTCTATGATAATATACAGCATCACCTCATACAAATGACAATGAAGTCTTTATATTCAACTTGCAATTCCAAAAAAAAATGCTAATCGCATGAATACTGTATAGGAAAAGAGAAGAATGCCAATATGGCCTGCACTCTGCAGGATATAAAGTTAAGCATGCATAGCAATAGGGCAACTTTTACAAAATGAGTGAACCTTATGGTTAATTACATGGATACGTAGCTAGAAAAAAGTTATAATGAATATTAAAAGCATCAATTGAAGAAAAGCTTGTCCAACATTGGTTGAGGTGGTTTGGCCATGTCCAAAGGAGACCTCCAGAGGCACCAGTGCATTGTGGAGTCCTAAGCCAAGCTAATAATATGAGGAGAGGTAGAGGAAGACCGAAATTGACATGGGGGAAGGCAATAAAAAGAGATTTGAAAGCTTGGGATATACCTAGAGATCTATGTTTGAATAGGAGTACTTGGAAAGCAGCTATTGAAGTGCCTGAACCGTGACTTGGGGCTCTTAGTGGGTTTCAACTCTAGCCTACCCCAACTTGCTTGGGACTGAAAGGCTATGTTGTTGTTGTTGTTGAATACTAAAAGCATCAACAATGTTGGGACATTTGATGTTTGGAAACTTCTGAAAATATATATATTTCCCAAGTGATGTGGACTATAAAGTATATGGAGCTACCTGTGACCGCGCTACTATAATAGTACAGAAAAGCAACCACAACATCAAAGCATTATGCCAAAATAATGTATATCCAATATCTTTTGTAACCAACCTTATGTCCAGTTTAACATCTGAAGCCCCAATCATGCAAATGTACCGGCTTGAACAGTGCTGCGTATCGTATAATGTTGTTGCCCATCTAATTGCAGAAAAGCGAACCTCACTTTGCTCCTTTATTGAGAAAAAAATACAAAAAATTCTATAACAAAAATGTGTAAGATCAAGCAATTATGCAAAATTTAAAATAAGAGCATAGAAATCCTTTGGTTAGGCCCTTAGAGATGATAAGATATTGCAATTTGGGAATAATTAGTCTACATATAATAAAAACAGGTGTTGCTGGAAGCCTGGTTTCAAGTATCACCAAAACCACAAGAAAAATAGCCACCCCATAAAAACTGCCGCAGATAGAAAGTATGACAAAGTAAGCCATCAGCGATAAGTTCTCAAGGCTGTACATGAGATATGAATGCACTTGTGATCTTAGAAAAGGATGGGAAAAAGTTATGTTTCGACTCCAAATATGAGATCTAAACTGAGAATTTGAGCCATAGTTGAAGGATAAAAAATCTGACTTCTTGCCTAGGTGGCTATGAGCATATCTCAGACTAAAAACTAAAATCTTAAACCTCTCCTAATACTAAAAATTTGGCATGGTTATTTGAAGTAAAACTTGGCCAGAAATTTGTTCTGAGACCAGCTGTTTGAACTTTTAACTTCTTTTGCATAATACTTTAATAGTACTAGTGGCTGGAATGAATCTAAATCGAAATATCATATTCAGAAAATCAAACTGATTTGGTGAAGAGAAGGTGCTTTTCTATTCGCATGAATTGGTCAATAAAAGGGGGGGCAGACCAGTGCGGAGGCTCCCACATGAGTGGGGGTGCAGGGAAGGAAAAAACTGAGGCAAGCCTTCCCCCATAAAATCTGGAGAGGCTGCTTGAACCCGTGACTGGTGACTCAAAGTGAGACAGCTCTCACCACTGCACCATGGTCAATAACCCTGGATAAAATTACTTGGTTATTTTGTAATATTCACCGATACATCAGGTAATGAGCTTTATAGATTGTTTTGAATAATTGCACTTTTGTTTACCAAATGGAGCATGGGCCTTCCTTCAAGTTCCTAAAGCAAGGACTTAGGTTTTGAACTTATGGCCCTCATACTAAAATTTATTTGCATTCAAAACTATCACCAACGATGAAACCATATATAAATGTTGAGAACAAAGGATTAGCACAATAGTGGTTTGAGAACCTATGATGTTAAGAACAACTTTACCGCTTCACAATTTTCCAGAAGAAGCGCCTCAAGATCCTTCAATACTATCGTTGAAGCACGCTGATATCAAGGTCAAGAAAAAAAAGAATAAACTTAACTGACAATTCTCTAATTAAAGCTAGAGAAAAATGAGATGCATAGATACCATGGTAAAGTCATGATGCAGCAAATAGAACAAAGCTATGCAAAAAATGTTGCAAAATGAAAACACAGTACCCAATTGCTATTGGTTCTGGATGATAGAAAATCTGTGTTTTATGTTGTTTCTATCTTATGTGCACACTAAAATATCCTTTTTTGTGTGAAACACTAAAATGTCCTGCTAGATAAGCATCAATTACATTCTAATGTATTGAACACATGAAATGCCACTGGGTTGATATGTAATTGTGAACCCTAAGGCCCTGTTTGGATGCAAAGTATTTTTTGGAGTTTTAGGCCATGTTTGGATACAAAGTATTGAAGAAAAACCATGGTTTTGGAAAATACTTTGGTTTTCAAAAACTGTTGGGTGTTTGGATACAATAAACTTTATAGTTTCTAAAACCATGATTTTGTTAAAACTGTAGTCTTTTTGGAGTTTTGAAAACTCCACTCATGACCTTTTTTTCTAAACCATGGTTTTGTGTCTCTTTGGCTTATAAAACCACAGTTTTATGATACCATAGTTTGCGAAAACTATGTCACCCAAACAGGCCCTTAGACGAAAAAAAATACAATGGTTTTACGAAATACATTAGTTTCAGAAAACTTTGAGGTGTTTGCATACAACAAACCTTGTAGTATTGAAAAACATGATACTGCTAAAACTGTAGCCTTTTGGAGTTCTAGAAATTCTACTCTAGACATCTTTTTGCAAAACAGTGATTTTGCACATCTCTGGTCTCTAAAAACTACAACATCGAAACAGGACCTAAGTATTATCAAAGTAACCATATTAATTATTCAGGTAACTAGGTAAGGTCTCTGAGAGTAGATCAGAAGTTCAAAAATGGAAACTGCCTAGACATATTTTGAAGTCTCCTTGCCTCCAAAAGGTTTTAATATGGACTTCTTTGCATCAACCATTTACAATAATCTAGCATTTACAAGTTGCATCAACCATTTAGACCAAAAAATTTACTGTATAAATGATCAATTAATTACAATTTAAAATCATCTTTGTGAAGCACACTTTGTAGAAAACTAGAAAGCAACATGCCAACATGCTCTCCAGAGTTACCTTATATGCTGTAGCAAGGGAAGTAGCCGCCTCTTGAATTGTCAAACGAAGAGATTGATCCTCCAATCTCAAAGCAGTAAAGAGTGCGTATAGTCATGTCAGTTTTATCACTGCAATATAATAGAGGTAGAAATGTCATTCCTTAATATAACATAAATGAAACAAGAGCCAAGAAAGTTTTAAGAAAATATCATGCCTGAATAAATTTGGCATGCGAGAGGCAAGCAAACCAATAGCCTGGTATGCAAATATTTTGGTATCTCTACCGGTAGAATCTGGAGGAGAAGAAAATCAACACATGTTCAATGTTTTTCAATCATTTCAATATTGGAAATTTGGCCATCAACAATTATCTCAACAAACCATAAAAAATCAAAGATAAACCACATTTAGATCTGAATAGATAAAGCTGATAAATAGTCGAAAGACCTGTTTCTGCAGTCGAAGAACCATCAAGGGAGCGCAATATTCCACTAAGTATAACTGGACCGATTAACTTTAGCTGGTCAGTTACTGCCTAAATTAACAATTACATCATAAATTATATTAGTTTAAAAATGGAGCAAAAGAATTACCATAGGTGGCCAAATTAAAAGCAACAGAATAAGTCGCTAATTCTAGAAGTTAAGCTACTCCTTGTTAGAACATGCGAAGTGCACATACATACATGTTTGAAAACCCAGACAGTGAACTCCATTCCTAACTGCTTCAGCCTTGAAGTAGTTCCACTTCCTACAGGCGAAACACAATGAAAGATAAGAAGGATTTAGTAACATACCAAAATGGTGAAGTTAAGTCATTACCTTATCGAAACAGCATAAGGATGGTTCTACCAACAAGTTATTATCTTATCGAAACAGCAAAAGGATGGTTCTACCAACAATGAAATGTAAGAATGGGGAGACAGAGTTATTAGTAATAATAGGTTCACAGAAATATGAGTTCGAAATGCCAGTGCATAATCTCATTAAGAACAACAAAGACCAAACACTAACTCATCGAGGCCAACAGAAATGCTTTCTGGAACCACGATGAGCATGATCCTTGAGCAGAATTAATAAAATGTCTGAATCTCAGTTGACCATGATCCTTGATTAAAGTAGTGTTGTGTAAGATGTTGCAGTTTATTCCATATGACTAGGGTAGAAAACAAAAACACAATGAAACATCAACCAAAAAATCAGCTTCATCTTCAATACAAATCTATGTTCAGTAAGACAAAAGTTACTAGGTTACATTCTTCCCATAAATTAGTGGAGTATTTTTTTTTTTTTTTTTGAGAAAGACGTTGGCACCAAAAGAAAAGGAATTTTTTTCAAAACAACAAAACATTGGAAAAACATTTCAGTGGCCTACATAGACATGCAGCTCATTAATGATATAAATATAAAGTATGGAAAACTACAGTTACTAACAACCAATCTTATTACAATGTAACAATTAGGCATCAGAAGGGATAAGACCAATTAAACGCAAACTAAAAAAAGGTGGGGTACAAAACAGAATACCATAGATGCAGCCAAAGATGCATTGAAGTGTGTGTGGAAATGCATTTGCTGCAGCAATTGATCGGCAGAAAACACTCATAAGCCCAGACACATAGCAGAAGCATGTGCTGGGGACACTTTCAGCTCTGCAGCTATATTTTCTGCACCCACAGTACCTGTCTCACAAGAGAACATTATCATGGAGCAAGACTTACCACAAAATATTTAGATACAAAGTGACAGATAAAAACACAAAGGGGTCACATGCAATGGAACTATCAAATTCTTAATGGCAAAGAAGAATACGAAGTGCCCACACAAGTGCGCACAGCATTCAACTATGCATGTGCTGGCAATCAACCATGTCAGTGGGCAGCCAATTGTGTGGACATATGTAGGCATCTGTATGGGTACTTGTGACAGGTGGGTTTGGGAGTTCAAGAAGGGCTGCATAATCATGAGAACAGGTTTGCAATCATCCACTCACATATGCATTCTCTCCAATGGACCATAAAACCAACACGTAAAAAGAAATGAAACCACAATTAAAACAACACCAATTGATAGAAACGCATCTAAGTATTCAGACTATAACACACCACATAGATGGCAAGAGGCGAACATAGTGACAGTACTCTAATTGAAATTTAAACCGCAATGATCAAAACCCAAGAAAATGCAAAGTACATACCATTGAACAGTGTGAACAGTCTCTTGATAAGGTTCGGATCTTCTAAATTTACTGTTGAAGCTTTGCGCTTTAAGAACTCTTCTCCTTTCTTAGAAACTGGCTCTTGGCTGTACTAAGATAGTGGTTAGCATGATTATCGGTCCACGTAAAAGTTCCAACATATTTTAGACAAAATTCTAAAATAGAATACCTATCTGAAGAAGCAGATAAATAAAGAGGGTACACAATCTCAGGTGCGAAGTTCATAGCTTCAATGACATTCAAGATTCCTAGCTGAAGAGATTGAACAAGAAATTCAACCATGAGAAGACCAAGCGCATTGTGCAGGTAGTAACAACTAAAATATGTAAGTGCACTTGTGCAGACATGATTACACATTTTAATTACCTTTCTTGATGCAAGTACGTCAATTTTAGGGCTTGTTTTCCAGTGACACGTTCTGATTGGACAACTGACAGTCCTGCTGGGCATCCACTACTGTACAATTCAATAGCAGTCAAATGTCCGACGCTCAAATTGTGTTCTATGGTTTTACCTAATTTAGCAAGGAATACGTACCCTTGAGGTGGTGCTTGATACAATAATGTGTGAAAACAGAATTCAGCAAATACTAGACCATCCTTGGTTTCAGTTATTACTCGATATTTTGACGCAATAGTCTCGTCCACCTTATGGGTGTTACATTCGCCAATAGCCTGACCAATAATAGATGCAAATTTTTGTAAGGAAAAAACATGCAAGTGCTACAGAATGTAGACACACAAAGGGAAAAAAAAAAGGATGATACAAACAACACTTTACAAGACGTCCAATAAAAAGGTGATCACTCCACTAGGGGCATGACTGACCTTTGTTACAAGTCTCAAGATGATCCCTTGATGCTGAGCTGGAACATTTGATATATTGATTAAAAGATCAGGTGCGATGTTCCCTTTCTCCTGTTACAGAATGGTAAGTTGACACAATCAACTTTGCAGAAATGGTGAAGCAACTCTAGAGAAAACTAGAGACTAGCAAAGGAAAAGAGAGTACCTCGGTTGGCAGGCGTTCAAACGCCATCTCAATATATACGATACAAAAGTTTCGGACCATTGTTGCGGAAGTAGATTCAGTATAGATCTTCCATAACTCCAGCATTGGCAATGAAATCTCAGGCCTGTGCTTCACCCTTTTGTTAATGTGACTAAGAATTTCCATAACCTAATGAAACCCAAAAATAAAACCACATAACATTAGAAAGGCCCATACAAAACTTAAACCAAAAAATATAGTACTGATTAGTGATTACTAGTAGCAGGGCAGCTCGTGAACAGGTTTGGATTGAATTGATAAACGCATGGGGGCATTTGTTAGTTACTAAATCCGTTCCAAATTATAGTTCGTTTGACTTTTTTGCCCACAAGTTTCACCATCAAGCTCCGCCACTGACAGATAATAATGTGTTAATCGCGTAATTGTATGAGCCAGCCACTAATAATACAAGCAATTTCCCTGTGAACAAACCAATAGAAGCAATTGCCGCAGACATAAGGTAGAACGCTCTCAGTTGTACCACGCCCGAACCTAAAAATTCTCTCTCACATGTCACCCCATGAGCAATACAACTGATCCAACTGAGGGAAATAGGACGAGCGGCACGAACGTCTCTTACTGAAATTCGGATCGGATAAGTGCTGGAGGAGAAGGGGGAAGAGCGGTGCGCTTACGAGCTTGCGGACGGCCGGAGCAGGGGAGGCCAGCGAGGTGACCGCGTAGGGGAGGACGCGGGCCAGCACCGGCGCGAGGCGCGCGTCGTCGGCGAGGGCCAGGCGCGTGAGCATCCGGTCCAGGGCATCCATCCTCTCCGCGTCCGTCTGCTCCGCGGTGGCGGCGGCCGCGGAGGAGGCCGATGGCTCCGCCATCTCCGCCCGGTTGGGGTCGGAATCGCCGGCGTTTCCTTCTTCCGGCGCAAGAAGGTGAAGGGAGGACTGGCGAAGTGGCGGCTGAGTCGATGCTAGTCGGGTTCGAGTCCAACCGTTCATAAAACCGGTGCGAGTCGGCTGTCTTTTTTTTCCACCCGCGCGCCCGTGCCAACGCGAGAACAGAAAAGGTGCAACATGAAATCCCAATTACCAGAATCAATTCAGAATTACAATTTACAAGACTAGTCTAGCGATGATCGCTCACAGAGTTCAAGATTACATGAATGGGTAGACCAATTTTCACAACCATCTTCGCTCCTGTTCGGATGCCCTACTTACTAAGGGCGTCCACAACGGTGCTATCGATTTCGATATATGCACTCATATGTCAATGTCATTTAATAGTAAATTACTCTCTATAGAATACTGTGATTGACGGGCAGAGTAAAAAAAGCAACATACACATATCCGCGTTTGCTTTTACCCGGCTCCGTGCTAGCGCCGAACAAGTCGCTAGTGTTTCACCTTTTTCTCGTTTTTTTCTCGTTTTCACCCTGCCATGTCAGTCTGAGCCTCCCACCGAGCCTAATCAGCTAGCGATTTGATGATTGTTGGGACGCCCTAAGACATATGAATAGGTAGACCTAACATTTTTTTTTATAAGCCCGGATGGCTAAATAATAGATTAAATATGATTTCTTGAGTCTATATGTTACAATAATTTTATATAGTAGGATTGGACGCCGACAAGTGGCAACCCAATCACCGGATCCTAGACCCGCCGGTGATATGGATAATTAACTCTTAGCCAAAATATGAAATGATCATTTCTCGCTTCTCCACGCTTCTTTCTTTTCCCTCTATAGATGCGTATCGTTGACTCGTTGTACGATAAAAGAATATGATTCGTTTGACTGCACAACACGTACATGACACATCATAATGCTAGGGCAAATGTTAGAGTTTACAACAGCTTAAGCCATGAGAAACAACCGTAAATGCGTCGAAGGCTTATCATGTTGCTTTCGCAAAAAGAAGGCTTATCATGTTGTACCTGTTTTTTAAGCTAAGAAGACAAATTAGATGCTTAACTCCAGCTAGAACCTGAGTATAGAGCTTGGCTGCTTCTTTTTTTTTTGTCCCAAAAAGCACCTGGTGTACGTTCTTGTTGTATCAAATGAAGGCTCGTGCATTCCTCTCCTTTTCATGACTGCTAGATGTGGTTAAGGCAACAAGGCTATCAAACCCCTTGGGCTCGTTCGGCTACACTCTTATTCACATTAATTCACACGCATTGAAGTGAATTGAGATACAATAAGTTAGTTTAATTTTTATTTCAATCCACCTAATTAACATATGTGGATCACCCAACATATGTAGATTGGGGTGGATGAGTGCATTCAAACAAAGACCTCATTTGACTTGTCAGGATTGAACTTGGGATTGTAATCGCATTGCCTTAATCAAGTCTTGTTCTGCTGGATGTAAGTTGACGCGCTAGGCAAGATTTGATTTTTCACCAGAAGTGTTCGGTGGATGAGCCAGAGAAGAAGATGTGCTTGCTTATCTTGGGTTCTTAATCATAGAGGATTTAGGTTCTACTCCCTTTGTTTATTTTAGTTTTATTATAAGTCAAATTTATATAATTTTAATCAAATTTAAGGGAAATTATATTGACATTACAAAGCTCAAATAAATGCTCTATCAAAATATATTTTATGAAAATTTCAATTCAATGACACTAATTTGATCTTGTTGCATTCTTCTATAATAAATCTGGTTAAACCCAGAGAAGTTTGACTTAACACAAACCTAAAGTGAACTATACTTTGCAACATAGGCAAGGGAGCATGGATTTATCAAAGAAAACTTTATTAACTTTTAAAATTTTATGACACCCCCGTGCATTCGCAGTAATAATTTTGGTCGCCACGCCACGTTTGTTTAGACTCTTGTATCCCTCAGGCTGATGCTGTCATGGATTTCTAGTCCATGGTGTAAGCAATATCCATAAGCTCCTTCGCATGCTTCTCCCAGAGCGCCACAAACACGTCCACCCCGCCCCCTTTTCGCAGGCTGGGTATCAGCACCACCACCCCGTCCAGCGGGACCTTCGCTGGCAGGATCCCGGCGAGCCGTCCGCCGCACCCGAAGTCCAGGCGGTGCAGCTCCAGGTGCAGCCAGCTGTCGGACGCGACGTCCGGCAGCAGCACGTTGTCGTCGTCCCCGACCGTGGGCTCCAGCTCCTCGCCGCCGTGCAGCTCCCCGAAATCGATGAACGACTGGAAGTACTGGCGGTCGCGCGCGCGGACGCCCGCGCGGACCAGCGCCGCCGCGTCGGCGAGCGTGCCCCGGGCCAGGTCCCTGGCGCTGGTGGCCGCGCTCGCCGTGAGGACCACGTTGCCGAAGAAGCCCCGCGCCACGGCGTCGTCGGCGCCGAGGCGCGCGCGGCCGTTCACCGCGGCGTTGAGCGCCGTTCGCGACGCGTCGTCGGCCCGGCCGCGCGCCAGCGTGATCTTCCGCCACAGGTGCGCGGAGACGGTCTCGAAGGTCGTGTACGGCCGGCTCATCTGCGGCGCGGTGGCGTTCTCCTTGAGCCCCGCCACGAACTCGCTCGGGAGGTGCAGCAGCACGTTGGCGATCTCCGAAGGGTCCACCCGGACCGGCGCAGGCCTGCCGGCGGCCGCGTCCTCGGGGCGCAGGAACTCGGTGCCGCGGTGCTCGAACTCGCACCGCGGCGGGCGGCGCGGCACGATGGCGCTCGGCCCGTACGGCGCCGGTGGTAGCAGACCGCCGCCGACGTCGTCGAGTGGTGGCTTAGTAGTAGTAGCGCCGTTGTTGCTGGCGCGGACGGCGTCGGCCCACGCGTGGAAGAAGGTGGACATGGAGTATCCGTCGGCGGCCAAGTGGTGCGAGGACGAGGCGATGACGAGGCCCCCGCACGCGAAGCGGTTGATCTGGAGCATGAGCAGGTGCGGCGGCGGCGGCGTGGCTTCGTCATCGCCACCGTCGACCGGCACGTGCAGGCTCGCGAGCTCCGGCGCGGGCGCGAGCGGGAGGTGGTCCGAGAGCGCGGACGCCACCGTGGCCTCGACCACGAGCGCGCCCGCGCCGCCTCTCCCCGTGACGAAGAACGGGCGGCGGCGCTCGTCGTCGGCGACGAGGCGCGCGGTGAGGAGCGGGAAGCGCGGGAGCGTGGCGGCGAGCGCGTCGAGGAGCGCCGCGTTGGTGGGGTTGGGCGCGGCATAGGCGAACAGCACCGTGACGTGGTAGGTAGGCGCGACGAGGTCGAACACCGTCAGCGGCACCTCCGTCGATGGCTCCGACGCCGGCGCGGGTATCACGAAGCTCCGCTGCACCTGCACGTCCATTGCTAGCTCTCGACTTCTCTAGCTAGTGAGCTAGCTAACACTTGTGACTTATGACTTGTGAGTGAAGCTTTGTGATCGAAAGATGGACTTGTGAGAGTGCAAAGCTAGCTGAAGACGATGGTGGTGGGTGCCGGCAGTGTGTAGGCAATGGCAGTCTATATATAGAGCGTGTGTGTCGTGGAACGTCGTCGTGTGCCTGAACTGAACCTGCATGTTTGCACACTTGCAAAAACCGAAACCGGTCTGGTTTGGAGATGCCGTGGTTGGTGCCGAGCTCGCCATGCATCGATCCGTGCGTCGTCCTCGTAAATGCGTGCATGTAGACAGGGAGAGGTGCATTGCAGTCTGCATGCAATGGTTGACGTACGTGGCCGATCCAAACGGTGCGAGAGGAGTAGTCGGATGGGGCCGGAGACGTCACCTGACGAGGACGACGCACGACTCAGAGTTCGGTTCCCATGCATGCTGTTTTGGCCCTACGTGCCTTGGTCCACCTCTGGTGTACGCACAGTCGTGCACGGTGCAACCGTGTGCAGTCCAGCAGGCAACGCAGGCAGGCAGCCTCAGTTGTACTGTACGGCCGCGGGGGATAAAGGCACCACCAACCCTTACGTCTACGTGGCTGCATGCAGCAGAGTAGCGGAGGTCAATTCTACGTGGCTGCATGCAGCAGCGGAGTAGCAGAGGTCAAACTTGTGTGCGAGATGGCGTCGTCGTGCCGTGCGACGATCACTGACCCCTGAGCTGAGAGGGGGCAAAAAAATGGGTGAAGAGCCGCCTCCAACTGTTGACTCTCATCTACCCGATAAGATCAGACGCCAGTCAATCAGCAACAACAAGCACAAAGACTCAAAACAGCTTAGCATGTACTGTATGTGCCTATCCATGGCCATGGAAGCCATTGTTCAGAACATTGTAGTACTCAAATCATCTTCAGGTCAGGGGTACACAACCTATATGATGGATATTTGCCTTATTCTCAAGAGGAAATAAATTACAAATGGAAATATTTCTATCTTGCTGGAAATAAATAATAATGACACGCACATCTGCACACATGAGTAATCCCGGAAAAAATTCCACTGCACAGCATATAGACAAATAGACATATCAAATATTGCATTGCACATGCTAACATCAGCGGTAAAGATCCAAGTTGACAGCAATAAAGAGAACATCAGAATTGCATTCAATTTAAGTATTTAAACGCCTTGATTTTATCAGTTTCCTTTTGCCTCCAATAGACAGGTTTGTACTAAATGAACAAAATATTTGGGATACATCGCTCCTACTTCTAGTGACGATAATCCAGAAAACAGTTTTTGTCATGCGGCCTCTTGTGCTAAGTGCTAACACGGTCAGTAGCTCAGTATGGTCACCAACTATGTACAGAAGTATATGCAGATGAAGATAACTTATATTTTGGCTAATGTCCTACACTAAAGGTGGGGAAAAGTTTCAACAGTGCTGCTGTGCCTTGTTCTGACTGCATTGTTTTGAGGAAGTGGCAATTTAATTTGCTTACCTGAAAAAAGATTCCAAGAGTCAGTGCACCTTCTAATATAAGGAGGAAAGATAAGCAGGAATCAAATGCAGGGCTGCATATAGTTGCTCAATTTTTGTTCATCAAGGCATTTCAGTGTTGTTGAGCTTTACCAGTTGCAACCATGATTCCCTCATGACAGATCCTCATGTGACTTTGCATCTCAATGCATGTGGCAGTCATTGAAAGGATGATTTTTTTTTTAAAAAAAAAAGGTTAACTGGTTTCCTTGAGAAATGAATTTAGCAACAAGGCAAGGACCAGATACAAGAGGGAAAAAATATTTTAATCGATTAGAAAAAAATCCTGAGAAATTATGGCAAACAAAAAAGGCCAACTTTAGTCTCTTGTTGCATTGGGTTGGGGTAAAAGAAAGATTAGTGTTACAGTCTCCTTCCTCAAGACACCTCTAAATCTTGTAGTTACTATGATGTCATATGTGGCATTGCTCTACTTGTATTCAGTGGCAGAGCTTGCTTTAAATCTCAGACAAGGCGAGGGGGCAATGATGAAGTAGCCAAGCTAGACATAACCATTTTGCAGTTTAGTCACCAACAAAAAGCTTTAAAATTGCTAGTTTCCTACCAAACTACTCATACGCAGGGGTGGCCATGGCCCGTGTTGACCCCAATGATGCTCCGCTGCTGCTTGTACTGTACTGCAACAATGCTGATGGGTTGGTGGGTTATAAGCAATCCAAAAATATAGTGCTATACACAGAGAAGCTGAAATGATGAATTATAGTCATAGTCTCATAGATGATGAAAAAATGCTGCAATGACATTAGCCAATAAAGCCAATGTGAATATATGCTAAGAGGCCCTCAGATTGGAAAGTTATTTCTTTTCAGAAATGAACAGTTTTTTTTTGCTAACAAGAAATGAACAGGTTGTTGTTAAAAGAAAATTCAACACACCTACAAGCAAATTTAATATAGTCATTTGTCACAAAATGTTTGACAAACATTACTACAGTTCAGTTGTCACAACATTTTGGCAATAAATAAAGAAATTGTAAAATGTGTCGTAAAAGTTCTCAAAAAGAAAACTATGCACATTGTGATCGCTACCTTCAAGGACGATCTCCACTGAAAATTTTGTCTATTTAATCGCACTGCCAGTCTTGAAATTGAGTGCTTGAGGAAACACTGTCAGCAACTTTGCTTGGCATTTTAAATCATGCTATATTTTGCTTGATATCAAGTTGCTGAAGCCAAAATTCAAATTATAGTTACACCCAGATCCCAAGAGCCAGGTAAACCACGACACTGAGTCAAGAACCAGCAAATCTCTGCTCTGGTTGTTGTAGGAACTGAAACTCCTCAGCATATAGCTGTAAAACCCTAGAGACTTCATGTCTAACTGGACTAATTACATGCTGATTGAATAATGTCATGCGCTTGCAGATTATCTCGAATTCATCCTGCTGAAAATCATTAGGTAAGGCACTCCTCCATTTCCCTGATTTTCCAACAGAACAAAATCCATAAAGAAGTGAAAGGAAGGTTATAGGGTCTGGCAAGCAGCCTTTGTTAGACATCTTATCTTTCAGGTCCATTGCCTTCCCAAGCATATTATGTCGACACAAGCTGAAGATTATAGCATTGTATGCCGAAATCCTTGGGTCCAATCCATCAGAAATCAATCCCTTGAATACATCTAAAAGGGCACGCTTCTTGTGAGCCTGATTAGTATCACTGCAGTTTGAGTTGATCATACCATACCTACAGTTTGTGAGCCCATTAACTAAATAATGCATTGTAGCATCATTTGGAGAGCAATGGTTAAGCAGCATATGTTCAAAGTACGCTGCAGCTTGGATTGCTTTATCTTTCTTAAAGAGGCTACCAATTAGAACTGTGTAGTGTACAACATTGGGAAATAGACCCTCAGACTGCATACTTGCAAATAAATCTTCTGCACTGTCTGTGTCACCGATGTTGCAGTATCCACATATTAGTGATGCGTATGTAACAACATTCGGCTTGCATCTTCGCTTCATCATATCACATAAAAACCTAAGAGCTGCTGTTATGTCGCCTTTTTTAGCGTAGCCATCGATAAGTGTAGTATATGTAAATTCATCTGGGATGCACCCAACTTTTCTCATGCTGCTCATGCACATAACCGCCTCATTCATCATTCCAAACTTACAATATCCTTTTATCATAGTATTGTAGGCAACAATATCAGGGCAGCCACCTTTTTCTTCCATGAACTCGAATATTTTCCTCGCTTCACTGAGTTTGTCATTCCTAATGAATCCGTCAATCAGAGTAGTATATACAAATTTATCAGGCTGAACTTTTTGCTCAAGCATCTCTTCAAGAAGGTTCTTAGCTGCAGAAAGCATCCGTTTCTTGCATAGACCACTAATCAGCACATTATATATGTTAGCATCAGGCATCACCTGTCTCTCTGTCATCTTCTCCCGGACAATCAAAGCCTCATTAACCTGCCCAGAAACAACGAGGCCATGAATTAATGCTCCTAACATAACCACATCCGGAGTATGCCCTCTTCCAATCATTTCCACAAGCAAATCCGATGCAACCATCGCCTCTCCTCTGACGCAGAAGCCATGAATCAAAGGAGTATAGCTTAACTGATTCGGTTCCAACTCCCTCCTAATGGCCTCCCTCAAAAGTTTCAGAGCCTCTTCAACATCCCCTTCCCGACAAAACGCTGCTATCAAAGTATTGAACGTGACGACATCCGGGTCAAACCTGCTTGCAACCATTTGGTTCAGAACAACCAATGCCTGTGACGCCGACCGGCATTTGCACAATGAGTAAATCACAGTGTTGTAAATCTGCACGTTGGGGGACAGCCCTCTCGCCTTCATCTCCCCAAGCAAGCTCTCAATCTTCACCAAATCGCCTTTCCTCCCGAGCCAGTGAATGATAGCACCATACGTCATCACAGTTGGCATGATCCCCTTCGTCTCCATCTCGCCCAACAGCAGCAACCCCCTCCCGAGGTCCCTGCGCCGGCAGTACCCGTCGATCAGCACGTTGTAGAACACGGCGTCCGGGATGCACCCTTCTCCCCACCTGGCCTCAATGAGGGCCCTCCCCTCCTCCACCCGCCCTTCCAGGCACAGCCCGCGGACCATGACGCAGGTGCTGTAGTCATCCGCGCCACCCTCCCGGTCCCGGGCGAGCATCTCGCCGTACAGCCTCCGGGCGCACTCCCACCGGCGGCGCTCCACGAGGAGCCTGAGCAGGCGGTTGCAGTGCGGCGCGTCGGGGAGCGCGCCGTGCAGGTCCCTGGCGCGCGCGCACGTCTCGGCGGCCTCCTCTTCCATCCCGGCGTCCGCGTAGGCGGCGGCGAGCGCGCCGAGGCTCCCGTGCGTGGGCGTGTCCCCCGCGAGGGACATGGACCGGAGCGCGGCGTCCGCGGCGTCGAAGCGGCGGGCGCGCGCGAGGAGGCGGAGCAGCGCCGAGTGGGCGAGCGGGGTGGGCCCGCCGCCGCCGCCATGGCGGTGGTGGGCCCGGTGCCAGGAGAGGAGCGCGACCGCGAGGTCCGGGTCGGCGTCCCCGAGCGCGGAGACGGCGGCGGCGAGGCGCGCGTCGGGGAGGGGGGAAGGGACAAGCGCCGCGATGGAGCGGGACCAGGACGGGTCGGTGGCGCGCGCGGCGAGCACGCGCGCGAGCGAGGCCGTGAGGGCGGGGGAGATGGACGGGCTCGGGTTGTGGCGGCGGTGTGGGAGCGGGGTGACGCGGGGCAGGAGCCTCGCTGACATCAAACGCTGCGGCGGCGGCCGTTGGACGGCGAGGCTGTAAAGCCCTCGAGCCGCATCCAACCATCCACTGGCGCCCTTGGAGTCGGAGGCGTCAGAGACTTCCACAGCCGGCCGTCACCACTTGCATTGCAGGCCTTCGAATCGGATTGCCATTTCAGTTGGGAGTTACAGTGTTTCTCAAAAAAAAAAATTGGAAGTTACAGTACTTCTTATAGTACATTGCAAATTGCTGGATGTACACCTAGATATACATTATATCATGTATGTATTTAAAAAACACTTCCTAAAATACAATTTTGTCATTGTTTAGCTATAGAAAAAAAATTATAAATTATCTCTTGTGAGATGTTCTTTTAATTGTATACTGGTTGATTATGTAAGATTGATGCCTGGAAATTTCCAAAAATTGAGGCACCTGAAATATAGCAAGTCACATTTCAAAAAGTCAAAATGACTTACAACTTAAAACGAAATCTTGCAATACCAAAGAGCAGCGCGATTCAGTCTTTCAGTGAACATGTACAAGCTGTTCATCATTTGCACTGATAACAAGTGTGAGCCTTGGAAGAACAGAGGCATGTTTCCTCCAACTTCAATCGTACCAGAAAGAGAGCAACATTTGTTGTTGAGAACAGAATCAGACAATAGACAACGACAGAGTTGCCATCGGCCATCAACGACAAATGCATCCTGCAGAAAGGAAGCCATCTTCGTTGACGTGGCCGACGTCCCAGGAGTTGGCGAGGATCCAATGGTGGTGGCCGCCAGAGTTATGGATCACGCTGTTTCAAGTGTTGGCTCGGATAGCTCACGGTCCGTGCATCCGAGGATGATGATGGCTATTCTCTGGCCAGCTAGCCTAGCCTCCCTCCTCGCTAGTCCTTCATGGCTGCTTCACAATGTCACAGTTTCTTGATGCAGCAACAGAGGAAGATCAGCAGAGGATTTTTCTTTTCCGGATTTGCCAAATATGTTTTGATCAATAAACATGCTATACCAAATCATGTTTGATTCAGAACTGCACACAAAACAAATGATCAGCATGCTTATAATAGGCAATCCCTGCATTGCATAATAAATAAGAAGCATCAAAACATTGCAGTTTTGCAGACCGTCCAGAAGAGGTGAAATACCTTCTAAAGCAATGTATTATATGAAACAAATAGTAATGTACTAACGTTACTGTTAGAGCTTGTTCTTATTCTCTTAACCCCATGGGATTACAAAGGGTACACGCTGGTAACAGTGAGGGAACAATACAAACCTGAAAATATACAGATTTCATCATGGGTCAAGAGGTTCAGGTCATTGACCTCACCGGGACTGCAGGATCTCTTACAAAATAATGCAACAATAAGCAGAGAATGTTGTGATACCCACTGATTTTTAAATTGATTTCCCCTGTAAACATAACTGGGGATGAACAAAAGATATATTTCACCTGGTGAACTTGATGCTGAAGTGCACTGACAGGACACTATTTCTCTAGACAGTTCCTTCAAACAAAGGAGGCCACAGATCATGGTCAGTAAATTAGATTAGGAGACAGATATAATCACTCCAAAAAAAATTACATGTCACTTGAAGATGTATCAGCACAGCTGAGGATTCAAGTCATTTAACATAATGCTTATTGGTAGGCTTCCTTAGGAAAATGATATTGCAAACATTAGCAGATTAGCTGATTGCAGAGGGGAGAGAAAAAAAAATTCTAACCTCATGTCCAATGAACTGCGGAGATCCGCCTTATGGACAGTTGTACTCATTATCAACACATCATATGGAAACGCGGATACTGTGAGATCCTTAGGGAGCGTCTTACAGGTAACCAATCAAGACAAACTGTTGTTGTAAACATAGCTTGTGTGAGGAAAAATACAAGAAGCGTTTTCAACTGCTAACAGTGCGGAAAAATACCCAAGCTTCAATTATAGAATCACACGAATGATTAAGAGGTACATATGATCGATTTTATGGCTGGGAGTGCAGGGTTTCCTCACATATTATGCAATAAAAGGTAGACTACAGTGTTACTCGTTAATTTGTAAACTGATTCCTTCTAAAGCTAACTAGGATTGACCACAAGATCATTTTACCTGTGATAAACATGATACTGAAGTGCACTAACAAGAGACATTTCTGTAGAGAATTTCATCATTAAAGCATACCACAGAGCATGGCAAAAAAACATGAGCCAGAACAGTCACTCCAACAAATCCACATGCCACAGAAAGATGATCAGCGCAGTTGAAAACTGAATTCGTTTATGACATAATACTCATTTCTTGGCTTCATTGAGGATACGATACTTTTCAGGCAAAGACTTTGCATGGTGTTGGTATTCCTCCCTCGAGAAAAGTGATATAAGCATGGCAATAGTGGAAGCTTCAAGTGAGAAATTCTTCTCATCAAGTTTGGAGAGGTAAGCCCCAGCCCTGGTTATGTCACCTCTATGCAACAACCTCCTAACTAGAGCATTTAACATACCACTCTTTCCCATTGCTGAAAACAGATCATCAAACTTCTGTAGGGACCCTTCTTCTATGAGATTTTGTGCTATTAAGCAGTAGGTCACAACATTTGGAACCAAACCATAAGAAGAGATGGTAGCGAACAAATCCATGGCATCTTCCTTTCTACCACCTTTGAGCAAGGCACCAATCATAATGGTGAAAGTAAAAATATCAACTTGAAGATCCTTAGAACAAAAGCTCTGAAACATTTTGAATGCTTCATCAACACAATTATTCTTGTAAAGCCCATTTAGAATTATGTTGTATGTGTAAATGTCCCACTGTTTTTCATTTTTAATCATATTGAGGTATAATTCCTTTGCTTTAGAAAATCTCCTGGTTTTAAACAATCCATGCAGTATAGTACTATAACTCACAACTCCGGGAGTAATGCTGTTGCGCAACATTTCTCAAAAACACTATTTGCATCATCTATCATGCGAGCATTACAGTAGCCATGAAGCAAGGTATTATAAGCCCATTCATTAGGTTTCAAGCCAACTAAGAGCATAAAATCAAGTGACTTTGCTGCTTCATCAATTCTACCAACTAAGCAGTGGCCACCTATTAATGTAGTATATGAGATAACATCAGGCCTTGCGCCCACACGTTCCATCAAGTCAATGAGCCTCCGGGCTTTTCATAACCTATCCTTTTGTGCATAAGTTACACATTATGGTGTTGAAGAACACGACATTGGGACGGATTCCTTGATTCAACATTTCAAAAAATAATTCCTCAGCTTTCTCCCATTTGTCAATGGTGCGCAGTCCATAAACTAGGGAGGTAAAAACAAAGATGTCAGGAGCCACACCTTCGTTGATCATCTGATTGAATTTTAGCACAGCGTCGTCTACTCTACCTACCTTGCATAGTGCATCTATTAGTGCTCCATAGCTGACTACATCAGGACTCAATCCTTGCTGCCCCATTTTGTTAAATATATGCATTGCCTCATCTATCATTGCCTTTTTAGCATATGCACAGGACATTATGTTGAAGATGTGATGATTAGGTGAAACACCATTTTCTACCATCAAATCTAGTAAACTATGCATTTCAGAAAGAGCACCTTTGGTAGCATATCCATGAAGCAAAATGTCATAGATAGTCACATCAGGTTTTATGCCCTTCCTAATCATAGAATCAAAAATTATTCTAGCTTCTCTCCATCTTCTATTCTTGCATAGATAGTCCAGCAACAAACCATAAGTAAAACAATCTGGCTCAAAACCACGTGCAGACATTTCTTTAAGCATTCGAACCACCTCTTTTCACTGTCCTATAGAGAGGTATCCATGAATCAGACAACTATATGTGTCATTGTTTGGCCTAACACCTACACCTTTATCAATCATCTGCTGAAAGACAACCTTGGCCCTGTCAACCAATTGAGCTTTGCACAAGCCATCAATTACTGTGGTGTAAGTGACAGCATCCGGTGGAATCCCCCGATCCATCATTTGAAGAAACAGTACGCTTTGTCCACTTGACCCTCATTAAAAAAACCATTGATGACGGTGCTGTAGGACACCACATCCGGTGGGCAGCTTCTACCTTGATCATCAGCCATCATGTGGAGCAGCTCAAGTGCCTCCTCAACCCTCTTTTCATTGCACAAACCCTTGATAAGTATGCTGTATGAAACTACATTGGGTGTGCAGCCAAGCTCAGGCATTCGTTTGATTAAAATGTCCATGGCCTCACCCACTATTTTTGCGTCACAGATACCTTTGAGCAGTTGACTGATGACTACTACGTTATTCACCTCCAGCCCGACTTAAGGATGAGGCCAAAGGTGGCAAAGCCATGCTCCAGGCATCCCATGCGGCACAAGCAGCCGATGAGTATGCTGTAGGTGCGAAGGTCTGGAGCCAACTTGATGGTGCATTCACAGATCATCCGGTTGAAGAGGGAGACGACGAGCTATGACTCTGAGGTGGAGGAGCGCCGGCTGGAGGCACGAGACATAGCGGTGAGGATCTGGTTGAAGGCAGTAATCGAGGCAGGCCTGGCGTGGGTAAGCAAAGCGCGTCGTTGAGGCCGAGGCTTCCCGAGCGGGAGCGGCCGGCGATGACGCGCTCCAGCTCCAAGCACCGGTCGGCGGCGGTGCTCACGCGGCGCGGCTACGGGCCCGGCGACGAGAGGCACGGACGGCGCCACGTTAGTCTCCGGATCGGGGAAGCAGAGCAGCAGCAGCAGCAACCCACGTGAGGTGGCCGGAGCCGCGCGTGCAGTGCCGTGGAGCGTGTGAGGTTAGGAGCTGGAATGGTGGTCGGCAGCGTGGGCGGTTGGTTTAGTGGTGGCGGTGGCGACGACGACGGGCCATGGGGAAGTCCTCGCCTCCGCAACGCAACGCGCTCTCCCTCCCTAGGAGCCGACTCTTTTATTTTTAACATTTTATCTCTACGACTAAAACATTCATAACTATTCCGTCCACAGGTGCTACATCAAAGTCGCTCCATGCGATCAGATCATGAAGGCAATGCGCACTCGCTCCATGCGATCAGCTCAATCCCCCATAACAGCCGCAACAAATCAGGAAGGCAAAATCAATTCCCATAACAGTCGCAGCAAATCAGGAAGACAAAAATCATGAAAATTCCTAGACCATTTTTTTATGCAGTACTCTAAAACTCAACGGGTGATTGCGTGCCTTATCAGTCACGGTCTCTGGTTGTCAAAAAATCAAAGTCATTTTCGACATGAATCATACATTATGCATCGCTTCTCTGACTGAAACACCTAGCTAATCAGGTTAATTATAAAATATGTCAAGGTGCCCAGTACACCACTAATGCGTTCGTTGCTTTATTTTGCCCTTGATTACAATTAAAACATTCATATCGTCAACATCTACTCGACAGGACCAAAATACTCATGCTATTCATATCCGGCAGGCAAATAATCACTGCATCTCATGCGATCCATATCCGGCAGGCAAATAATCACCACATGAAGACACTGGAAGGCAAGTAAATAAAATGGAATAAAACTCACGGAATCACCCGCAGACAAACAATCACCGCAAACTCTACAACTAAAACATCCATATTGTCAACGTCTACCGGTAGGATCAAAACACTCATGCGATCCATATCCGGCAGACAAATAATCATCGCATCTCATGCGATCCATATCCGGCAGGCAAATAATCACCGCATCTCGTGCGATCCATATCCGGCAGACAAATAATCACCGCATGGAGACACTGAAATGCAAGTAAATAAAATAGAATAAAACTCACGGAATCACCGGCAGACAAATAATCACTACAAATAATAACATCTCATTCAATTTATATTGCACCCGTTGCAACGCACAGGCACTCATCTAGTTAATCAATATATTTTAATATTATAATCTGGTTTGAAAAGTTTTTACGGATCTAATTGTTTGGCTCCCATTCAGGCTCCTGATTCACCTTCCTACTAGTCACCTGTTCTTCAGTCCTTCACTGTCACCGACAGGTGCAAACGAAGCTCAATGCAATTTCAAAATCCAATTATTGGTTCTTTTTTAAAAACAATGGAATAAATAAAGTTCCAATATCAGAATCACTTTTCGAAGATGATTCGATCCACAATTATCCGTTCTGAACTGTATGACTGCACGAGCAACGGAACTGAACTTGTTAGGCCGAGGCCCCGTCGCCCCCAAACGAGTTCTCCAGAAAGCCATTTCCCTTGAGATGGCTGACATCTCCACACCTCTCGAGGCTCCACTGCCCGGTGACGCCGGAGACACGAAAAACGTTCAGCGAAGTGTTGGGAATGTGCCTGCGGATGGAGCTGTCGGGTGGATCAGTGTGCCGGCAGAGCTCCAGTATGGTTGCGCCGTGGGAGACCACCACAACCCGCTCCCCTGTCAATGTAGCAATACCAGCATTAGCAGAGATTTTAAACACTTAAAGAGTTCAGAACTTGTAGTGAACAGGTATTCTATTCAGAGGGGGCAGTGACATGTAATGTGGATTGTTCTGATTGTTTAGCCTCTTTGAAGCTTTCAGTTTAGTGCTTCCCATATGGGACATCAGGAGATCCGGAGATGAGGACATTTGCTGATTACCAATGTGTTCTTGGGCAATCTTATTCAGGTAGGAGACGCAGCGCTCATTCAGCTGATTCAGGCTCTCTCCACCACCCTGAACATCAGCGTAAGTTTTGATAAGACCTTCAAATGAAGCACAGAACTGGAGATATGGGTTTCGATTGCTGCAGGTGGCTAAGGGGAAACTTGTGTTGTTTTGAACATCTATTCAGTTTTAACTAGCAACAGCAGGTTGAAAACAGTTTATTCAGAACCACAGATATGGGGCTTCAGTCAATTCAAGATCTGAAAGAAATAGAGGCCACTGTGACTTGCGAACGAGAGGATGAACAAAGCTTTTATGGACCCAAACGCTAGACCTTTGGCAAGGCTGAAAACGCACAGTGACAAGTGCTGCGGTTCCATGCAACTCTACCACTGAAAATATGGCACAGTAGCTGTACAACTCGGCAGTTACCATTTCAATCTGGACAGACGAAGCTGCATACTTACAGGCAGTTCTTGATTTCTGCTGTCAGGATCAGAACCCTCAGTGATCTTGAAGATATCAAAGCCTCTGAAAGAATCTGGACTCTTAGCCACGGCGTCGTCCCACTTGAGGCCTTGGAGATACCCCATGTGCCTCTCTCTCAGCGCCTCATTCAGCACCACCTGAGACACACAAATTGTTGTTGAGACTTGAGACTCGAGAGGTGGAACGAATACAGAATGCAGGCACTCTATTTTTTTTCTTGAAAAAAAAACAATAACAACAAAGAGCACTTACATTCGATACACCACAAGCTTTGGCTATGATTTCAGCAGTCTCAGCGGCTCGCTTCAGATCAGAAGAGTATACGGCGGCAGGCTTGGCTTCTCTCGACAGCCGGCGGGCCACCTTACATGGTTGATCATCAGGTTTTGGCAGAAATATAATGTTAGTGCTAGAGCTGGGATTGGGAACATTCGTCACATTCTGCATTCTGCATCGTGGTTTGTGCAAATAACGGACATTACCACAACGGCTTGCTGCCTGCCAGCCTCATTTAGCTCCGGGTCCATTTGCCCCTGGTCAATTGGTCAAGGATGAGTTCTTCCAGTTTCTGGGAAACTTGACAGTTTACTGAAATGGGAGAATTGCAGTAGCAGTAGATGGTTGACCTCATCCTACATCTAACAGGCTTAACCGCTTAAGAACTGAGATACTGACATGCTGTACCATCGTTTTCTGCTAGTAAAGTGGCTCAGCAGATCAGAGAGGCTTGCAGTTGCAGATATGTGTTTGCAGACATGAAAACATTTGGGAGCAGTATGTTTGGACTGACTGACGAGACGAGATGGGCATGGGATGGCATATCAAAACACACGCACGCATGGATAGGTGCTGCAGTAATCTCGAAGTTGAAGGATTGCCCCTCTTCTCGGGAACCATTCCACTCTGAACACCTCTCTCGTCTGGTCTGGTACTTGGGAGATAGTAGTACTACAGAGAATTAGCTATCGACAGAGCGACGGCGACGAATCAGCAGGACTCAGTCGGGAGGAGGGGCGGCGACGGACGGACCTGGACGATGCGGGAGGCGTTCCACGCGGTCTCCCCGTGCCGGACCACCACCACCTCCGTGGACAACTCCTCGCCGGCGCTGGCGCCCTGCGCAGGGGTGGGCGACATGGCTCTCGGTTGGTGCTCGTCGAGTCGTCGTGGCCCGTGGCCGCCCCTACGTCCCTACACCCACCCTATCTTTATATGCCCGTGGGGCTAACGGCAGATTCCAGGAAGCCGCCAGTCGGCCAGACCTGAAGCCGCCGCCGCCGGCCTTCTTGTGGACCGCTGTCTTTGGACGGAGACGAAGACGGGGAAAGAGAGGCGACCAAGTGGCATATTCTCTGTCCTATTCAGGATACGTGACGGTGCTTGTCTTGCTGACCACCACCAAACTCCAACCTGTATTCAAGGATTCCTGCAAGCTGAAGGGGAAAAGCGATGACAGCGACATGATCACCACCATCACACGCAGGGCCGGCACGGTGTTAACCAACGCCGCCGTGGCCGGTGGCCCGACTCTGCTCTACTTTGCTGACACGGACACGGTTCAAACGAACGTGATGACAGGCATCCAGTGTTGCGGGCAGATAGTACTGTAGTATACCCAAAGAACATCTTGAGGGGAAATACTACTACGCACTCGCCTTGTTTCTGCTCTGCCAGTGGCCGGAGCATCAATCACAATCAGCCGCCACCAGCCAACTTGACGTCTTGGGGCGTGTTTAGTTGTCCAAACTTTGCACGACCAAAAAGCACTGTACACTACAGTGGCACTGTAGCATTTCGTTTGTATTTGGTAATAATTGTCTGACCGTTGACTAATTATGTTTAAAATATTCGTCTCGCGAAGTACAACCAAACTGTGTAATTAGTTATTTTTTTTACCTACATTTAATACTCTATACATGTGTCAAAGATTTGATGTGATGTGATATGATGGAGAATCTTGTAGTATGCAAACTTTGAAGGTGCAAAGTCGATGGAACCAAACAAGGGCTTGACCGCAACGCGGAGCACTAGAAAAACAGAGGTTCCTGCAGCTAAAGCGCGCGTTTCTGTCTAGCAAATCGCGTTAGCAGGATCTACTTGCTGAATGCCGACAGAGGGAAGACGACTAGCAGCCGCGTTCACACTTCTGCAGCCCTAGCGCTCGGACGTCCGCGCTTGCTACAACACCCGTGCCAGCGCCTGCTGCAAGCACAGGTGACGCTTCCATGCTTCCCGCGTCTTTCCATGCCTGCTGGACCGCTCCCCTCCATACACGGCGCTCCAGCAGCTGCAGCAGGCGGCTACGCCAGGTGGCTCATAGTGCAGTATTCATAACTTTTCGATCTACTTTTAAAATATCCAGACAAAACACTTGCAATATACATATGAAATAACTAAAACATTCAAAATATGCAGCGGAAAAACACTTGCAAAAACACATAAAAACACTTGAAAAACAATTGCAAACCTATGCAACATCGAGATAAAACACTTGCAATATATGTGTAAAACATATATAACATCTAGATAAAACACTTGCAACATATGTGAAACATACGCAACACCCAGATAAACACACTTGCAACATATGTCTGAAAAAACAGATAAAACATTAGAAACAAACACTTACAACATATGTGTACAACTATTGCAACATATGCAACATTCTGATCTACTTTTACAACATCCGTATGAAACACTTGCAACATATGTATAAAACATATGCAACATCTAGATAAAACACTTGCAACATGTGTAAAACATATGCAACATCTAGATAAACACACTTGCGACATATGTCTGAAAAAGCAGATGAAACATGGGAAACAGACACTTGCAACATATGTGTATAACCATTGCAACATATGTAACATCTTGATATATTTTTGCAACATCCTCATGAAACACTTGAAACATACCTACGAAACATCCTGAAACACTTGAAACATGCGCTTGCAACATTGGAGAGGCTGGGGCCGGGCGATTCCAGACGTCGGGGTCAAAGCCGGCGGCACACGAGCACCACCACCACCACCATCGCTAGCAGCACCGGGCTTGGCTCGCCTAGACGAGCGGCGCGCGCGACAGGCAGGAGCGAGCGGGGCGGGATGGGCACACGCGACGGGCGGAAACGAGCGGTGCAGGATGGGCACACACGACGGGCAGGAGCGAGCGGCGCTCGGTGGATGCGCTCGCGACGATCACATGCGTGCGGTAGTGAGGAAATGAAAATGATGTAGTGTTTTTTATTTTGTTAGAGAAACCACGTCATACTAAAGGTGAAGCAGAGGAGACCTGTTGGGCTCGATCATTGTGTGGACGTGGGAACGAGCCGTCCGGACGGAACACGCCTGAATGGACTCCAGTGTGCAAGCATTCTCGTTCACACTTCACGGCTGGCACACTGACTTGTCCCCGACGGCATCACCGCACATTCATATATGCGCAAGTTATCGAGATCATCGATCTGGTCGACTATGATGTTGGTTAGCACCATGATGGTTCCCGTAAACAACTCGCTTTTATAGCATTGCATGTGGTTGGACTGGACCTGCTGTAGAGTTGCATTTCTGCCACGATTCATGGTGTCATCTACTCGATCCACTATAGTTTATCATACTAATTTACTATTTTTTCTTTACTAAGTCTACCCAAAAAGTCTCTCCCGCGGTTTATCATACTAATTTACTATTTTTTCTTTACTAAGTCTACCCAAAAAGTCTCTCCCGCTGAGACGGCCTCTCTCCGCACACCCCAGAAAATACAACAAAAAAGCAACTCCATAGAACGACCCAGATTGCTTCTCAGTTTTTTCTCCTTGTTACTCAAGTCTAATCAGAATCGCGTGTACGGTCCTCATCATCCCTCCCATCTCCCACGCTCGCGCCCAGGCACCCACGTCCGTGCCTAGCAACCACGGTTCAATCCCACAGCCTGTTTTTTTTCGGAAAGAAAACAATAAGCGCGCGTTTAGTTCTCAAAGTTGCATTTTGGGTTATTGTAGCACGTTCGTTTTTATTTAGTAAATAGTGTTTAATCATGAACTAATTATGCTCAAAACGTTCGTCTCGCAATTTTCCAATAAACTGTGCAATTAGTTTTTTTCCGTCTACATTGTGATAGGTACTGTAGCAACTTTTTGAAATTTGGGGTCCAACTAAGGCCCTGTTTGTTTCGGCTTCTCTCAGACACGCTTGGATTATAATCTAAGCGAAGATTTTCTCGCTTCTCGCTTTTCGCTTCTCGTAGCTCAAATCTCTGAAGCGGCTTACCACATAAGCGAGAATCGGTGAAAATAAACAAAGCGTTTGACGGGATTCTCGCTTATTTCCACCGATAAGCCGCTTATAAGCGAAAACAAACAGTGCCTAAACAAGGCTAATACCGCCCCTCCCTCTCTCTGCCGAGGCGACGGCGCCCCTCCCCCCTCACCCTCACGCGGGCGCCGCCCCTGCCGGCTCGCCCCATCCCCCTCCGGCGCCTGCGCGGCCAGGCGGCCAGCCGGTGCCTGCGCCCCGGCCCCTTCCACGCTCGCCTGGCCAGGAGGTCGAGGCGGCCTAGATCTGCCCTAGGCGCTGGCCGGCCGGGCCAACTAGCCCGCAGTGACCGGGGTTGAGCGCGTGCCACGAGGCATGACCTAGCCCACCAAGCAACCCCTGCCCCTCCGCTCGGCATCCACATCTCACCCTCTGTTGCCCGTGGGCGGCTCCTCCGAAATCCCGACGGCGGCTAGTTCCTCGCACCTCTGCTGTGTGCAGCGCGTGGCCGGCGGCGTGCTTGCGTCGTCCAGCCTTCGACAGCGCCGCGGCGGCTCCCTGCCTGGGCTGCCATTGCCCTCAATCCCTCTCTCATCTCCCTCCGACCCTCTCGGCGCCGGCAGTCCCCTGCCTCCCGGGCCGTCCCAGCTGCTCCCTGCAAGAACTCTTCCATCAATCTTGGGTTGGTTTCTTCCCAGCAAATCTTGTTGAGGGCTCCCTGCAGTCAACCAACAATCTTGCTGCTTATTGTTTCTTCCCAGCAAATTAATTAATGATGCAGTGATTGTTGTTTGGTTACTCCTTTATAGGATGGAATAGGTAAGAGCAATGGTGGCAAGAAGAGGGAAGATAGTCACAGGATGCGGCAGTACAGGTCGCAGCTTCAACAGGAAGTTGGTGATATCTTGAGCCCTGAATTTATTTTTCTCTATACTGTAATGGGGTCACCTGATGTGAATTACTAACCCTGTGATGAAAATTGTGCAGGTCAAGGAATTTCTGAGGCAGCTTGAAGAAGAGGTTAATCTGCGTGTGGTGTTGCTGCACTTATATTGAAGCCTTCTATGAAGCTTCCACATAAGGTGTGGCCATGTGGGTTTTGCATTACTCTGGTGACTAATTTCACATGTTTCCTTGTGCTTATTCAATGTCATCTCCTAGCCAGTTAATGCATTATGATCCTTTGCATAGTCAGTTATCCCAGCGGCAACCGTTTAGATGGAAGTGCATGACCAATTTCTTTATGATATAAAATCTTCCTTAATGGATGCCTTCTTATGCCATTGCGCCACTTAAACTATTTGTTTCCATTTTCTTGTCATGACTCATGAGAAGCCACTGGATTTTCTCATGCCACTGGATTGCCAAGTTCATTATATATATTATTTAATCCCTCACAGGTGTGCCCCAACAGATCCCACTGCTCCTTCTCAACCTCCCTGCTTGGATATATTGTTTTCATCAAGTCATTGCTCCTTCAAAAGTTATGTATTGGTCATGTAGTTCGCATAATATGTAGAGGCATCTCTAGCCTAATACCATGCTTGGTAGTATTTATGTGGAATTTTGAGTCAAAAATTTATAATGCCAAGTTAATTTTTCTGTTTTTTATAATGTAACTATCTGAGTTGGTAGTATCTGTTTCAAAATGCTATACTGACAAATTTGAGCTGAGGCTTTCTATGTAAATTTGATGGTACATAATTGTTTCGTCCTAATGTTTTATTTATGTTTGTTAGCTTGCTAAATTGATATTCTGGCCATAATATGAATGGTAGGATTATCCCCACGATAATCAGTTAGATTACTAAATATTTGCTTTTATGTTCTCTTCAGCTCATGATATTTGATTTGAGAGACAATGACGAGCAGCATGTATGG